GACAAACGCCTCTCCCATGAAATTTTTTCCAAGTTGTTGCTATTCTGGGACATGTGCATTGTACCGTTTGGTCGCCCTCTCAGAGTACACCTTTGAAAAGACAATGATAACATTCCTAACAAAAATTTGGTTGTCCGACACTCTGACCTTAGGGTAAATACTTAAGAGCATGCAGTCCCATGGTCTGTATGCTGCAGCTGGAGAAAAATGCAACGCCAGTGCATTTTGGAAGCCACTTGTACCTTGATGTTTCTCTTATTGAGAAGGCAAATCTGGTGATTGTGAATATGTGCTAATGCCTCCTGTTTATGGTAACCAGAGAAACATCACTCTTCACAAATCTTCTAAGTCCAACATTTTCTGTCCACACTGCTGACGCCCAGTATAGATGCTATGGATAGTATTGGACATGGTGAAGGGAGAAAGTGATGTTCATTAGCACTTTAGCAAATTAGCAAATGATTAAATTGTACTTAATCTAGATGTTTTCTCAATGTGATGCTCTTATGCTGTCTTATCAGGATCATTTGGGATATGAACAAAGCAAAACTAAATGGCTATAATTTTATTGCAGTGAAATTCCTAATTTCAGCACCACTGCTAAGTACTCCAGGGGAGAGATGCTTCTATTCATTTTTGTATCCTGAATGCCCAGCATATGCTCAGAATAAAACAATACTACATAGTGTAACATATCTGAAGGGCTTTCTAAATTTTAGGTCCTGAGCTAAGTACTTTACATATGTTATCTTATTTAATCATGGCAAATCCCTATGGGCTACATAAGGCTATTATTCTCATTTTATAAATTAAAAAAGTGAGGATTTCAAAGACTCAGTAATTTTCCCAAAGCTCCAGTGGGAGAATTAGACTTGGGCTCAAATCCAGGCTCTCATTTCAAAGCCATTAGGGACCCAACACCTTAATGGCATTTGTTGAATCAATAGAGATGCGTGGTGGTCTGCATATGCTGCTGAATAACACAGGATATGAGGAAACTTCTAGTCAATTTCTCCTTCTGCCTTCTTGATTTTTTCCCCTCTGTCCCTATGTCAAGGATGCTATTTTGCTAGAGCAAATTCTAAAGTAACACTCATTTTATTTCCCTAGCAGTAATATAAAATGTTAGCCGATTACCATATGGAACACGAGAACTTTATAACCAGATATCTTTTTCCCATGTTTAACAACTTTATAAGTGTATGAGCTGTGAAGAGCACATTTCTTTTTAGTCACATTTCATTAGCCATTTATTTATAAAAAAAAAGAGTTTATCTTTGTGAAGTAGAAATAATACATGTCATAGTTTAATACAAGCAAAAAGTTTATTATTGAGTATAAAAATATTCAAAATATCTGGTAATCATAAGGTAACTATTGGTCAAAGCAAGAATATTCCATGGACCTACACTACTCTCTTACTTGGATCTTACCGTTCTGGAATTACTTGTACTCAGAAGTGAAGTTGATCCTATGGCAAGGGTTGATTAAGATACCACACACTTTTATAAGAATTTATTCTTGGGTTGAACCATCTTAGAAGCTGTTAAAAATGGCATTTTCATATGGTTCAAACTAATAGTGGCTCTCATCGAAGAAGTATAAAGTTGTTAACCTTTTTTGATTTTTAAATTAAAGAAGACATGAATCTAAGTTTCTATATACACGAATGGGTAACATCTGATTAACTCCTTTACTTGGCTGGCACAGTGCTTTGAACTCATAAGTCAAATGAACGTCATGTCCCAGGCCCACCAGGAAAACCACACAGCAGCCAAAGATCTTTATCTGTCTCCACAGCAGTGTCCTCTCAGTGAGCAAGTAGACAGGAGAAAGATCCGTGAGCATGTCCTCTTAAGCATTTGACAGAGTAGGTTGTAAGTTGGCAGGAAACTACCAACTTGTTAAAGGTCAAAACCTGGACCTGGCACTCATCTCACAGAACTCGCTTATCTAGATGTTTCACAACTGTCTTCCAATGTGTGCGGTTTATCAAATGGCAAGGTGAAAAACAAGGAACATTTGTTGCCTACTTGTTCCAATTTAGCAGTGCTGTTCTGAGACTGGGTAGCCAGGATATGGAAGCCAACTCGCAGGGTCATTGTAAGGAAGCCGAGTGAGTCTAACACAAGACAAGGGTGGCCTGGGCCTTGCACAGATGTCGTTGGCCATAGCAAGAGTGAGGTGTCAATGTCAATATCTGGAATATCAGCACATGGATCAAAATCATGCTGGGCCCATTATGAGCAGAAGGGAGGCTGAGTGTGGTAGAGACGAAAGCTTTAGAAAAGCTATGGCCTGCTGAGAAAATGAGCCCAGCATTCTCTGAAAAGGGCAGGAGAGGTTAAGTACTCAGAGAGGAATCCATCATGAATGTGAAGAGCAGCACTCTGGGCCTCAGATGATATCACTGGGACTTTTGCCTCAATTATGTTAATATTCCAGGTGTGTGTTAGTCAGAAAAACATGAGCAAATATCCTTATGTGAGATAGCATTTAAATGAGATAACACTGTATGTGATCTATTACAGATACTCAGTTTGTTCTCTTCTTACAAAATCAAGAGTCAATGATAAATATACTGTGTTGATATGTCTATTTCATTATATTGGGTTGTCGGAAAAGTCATGACGTATTGTTTTTATGTTTTTTGTTGCAAAAATGCATCATGACTTTTCTGACAACCCAATAGATAAATGACAGATATAGAGATAGAGATTTAGAGATATAGATAGATAGATAGAGAAAGAGCATCTTAGTTCAGTCTGCTATAGCAAACTACCATAGACTGAGTGACTTAAACAACAAACATTTGTTTCTCATAGTTACGGAGGCTGGGAAGTCTAAGGCACCAGGAGATTCAGTGCCTGGTATCTGGTGAGGGACTGTTCTCTGTGTGCTCACGTGGTGGAGGGGTGAGAGAGCTCCCTGGAGTCACTTTTCTAAGGGTACTAATGAAATTCATGAGGGCTCCACCCTCATGACCTCATCACCTCCAAAAGGCCCCACCTCCTAATACCATCACATGGAAGGTTAGGATTTCAACATATGAGTTTTGGGGGGACACAAACATTCAGCCCATTGTAATATACATGTATGTGTGAATTGTCCTGTCTCTGTAGGCCTATCTAGACATATGCATCAGCAGGTAATATTAGCACTGCAAAAGTCTATAACCCTTTATACCTTGAATTATACTATTTTGGATGTGTTTGATGTACATTTTAAGCTAACCACTCTTGATAGCAAGGTATATATCCTCAACAGTATTTTTCCGACAATACTCACTTTATAGCTATTTGATATATGAAATGTTTGAAAGGGTGATTGGATGAATACAAACAACTGAGGGCATTTAATGAACACATCTAGATTTGTAGCTTTGTCCAATATGAGTTTCAAATAATATTCTCTGTAGCACAATGCTTTACTCTTATTTGAATGTTGACAAATCCAAGGACTGGTTTTACTCACTTGCTGTATTTCTGCTTATGAACACAAATATCTTACTAACTTTCAGAGTTAAAACGCAGTCCTGAATTGAAAAAAAAAAAAAAGGTGTTGTTGGTTTTTTTTAACTTATTTTACTAATTAACAGACGAGGCTTACACAAAAATCAATAAAGTAATAAAGTGAAGTGTAGCATTTCATCTATTGAAACTGAATGTTTCATAGGCAGAAATCATTAAAAGCTTTTGAGGAAAGGATCACCAGGATGAAAGTGGCATTTTAGAAAAATCATTCTGGTGATGGTGCAGTGGAGGGATTGGATTGGAGAGAACCTGATGGCAGGGATACCTGGAAAAAAGATTTCACAGGAAGAATCAACAGGGTTGATTGGATGGAGATAATGGTAAAAGAGAAGCACACATCAAAAATGATTTTCAGACCTTTAATTTGTGTCACCAGGAAAGGAGTATAAAACCACACAAGTTCCCTAGGGAAAACTAGTTTTTGAAGAAAGACAATTATTTTAGACAAGGTGAATATAGGATTAATGTAGGACAAGTCAATGGAGAAGGCCCCACACAGCACTGGAAATGTGTTTGGAGCGTGGTAGGATAATGAATTAGATTTTGTCACTTACTGAAATGAAAAATATGACTGAAACTCAGGAAGTCACATTCTCTGGAGTTCTCTGGAAGCAATAATATATAAAGAGAAGAGCAAAAAGCTGAGGGCTGAATATCAAAGCATTTCTACCTTAGAGGTCAATGGAGAAAAATGGAGTCAAAGTAGGAGATGGAAAGATAATGATCAGAGAATTAAGAGGAGAACTGAGGTGTCACAGAATCCAAGGGGAAAGGTTTTATGAAAAGTTCAACCAAGTTAAGGAAAAGTAACCATAGAAATAAATATCCCTGAATTGGGTAATCAGCATGTTTTAAAGTTCTGTGCATTGTGAGAGGGCTTGGAAGAGGATCTCAGGGCCTCAAGAAACAATGATCTAGTTTCCTGTTGTCTACTACATGGCTACATATAGCTATTGACTGGGAATGTGCCTAGTCAAATTGGTATACGCTGTAATTTTAAATTACATACCAGATTTCAAAGATTTAGTATGAAAAAAGAATGTGAAAGATCTCATTAATCACATTTAAATATTGATTACAGATTGAAATGATGATATTTTGGATATGTTAGGCTAGAATAAATATGCTATTAAAATTAATTTCATCTTAAAATTTTTTAAATATGGCTACTATAGTAGAAAATGAACTTACATTGTATTTTCATTGAATGTCACTGATCTAGACCTTCATAGCTAAGGTCAGTAATACAGCACTAATATAACACAGTGAAACATACATATGTCTTAACAGCTAAATGCATTTTTTACTCCACCGACCTAGTTCGAATTCTTTCAATATGTGTTTTGTATTTTGTGAGTGTAATTCTGTATCTTGTGACCAGTGTAGCTTGTAAAGATTCATTTATTTTATGCAAAACTTAGGTTATTCCATTTTACTGAACATTTGGCTCTTTTTTTCAACCAACAGATGATGCTACAGCTGACAGTCGCAGAACCTACAGTCTAACTGATTATTTAAAAAGTACTTTTAGAACGAAAGCTTACAACTTGCGATGGGTTTCAGGTAAGAATTTTTGGGGGGAGGGGTAGATTTTTATGCTTATGTTCATTCTAGTTAGGTTGTGGGGCACTTTTATTGCACTGAGTAGATATCCTTGTTTTTTAAAACCATACAGGAGAGTATCTTTTTCTACCTAAGTGTGCTTTGATATATACTATGTTTCCCGGAAAATAAGACTGGATCTTATATTAATTTTTGCTCCAACAATCTACATTTATTCATTTATTCGTGTACAAAAATCTACATTTATTCAAACAGTCATGTCTGGCTGACAATCTTAACTGGGGCTTATGTTTGGGGTAGGGCTTATATTACGAGCATCCTGAAAAATCATGCTAGGGCTTATTTTCTGGTTAGGTCTTATTTTGGGGGAAACACGGTACTACCAAAAGTTAAATGTGAATTGAAACCTTGACAATAATGATGGAAAAATGAATGCATAGTAGAGAAATATTCATCACTTAATGTTTTTCCAACTCAGAAATGCTTATTTAGTACTCATGTGAGCTTAAGTTTTTTATTGTATTAATTTTAGATGTTTAATAGCTTGAAATATTGATCTAGCCATTTTCTCTCTTTAGACCATGAATATCTCTACAAACAAGAAAATAATATCTTGCTATTCAATGCCGAATACGGAAACAGCTCCATTTTCTTGGAGAACAGTACAATTGTATGTTTAATCATATAATTAATTCGTACTTTAAGGAAATTCTGGGGATTTTTTTTTCATAACCTTTCAAATCCTGAGTACTATCGTTTCATGCTGTTGGACTCTCTCTGCAGCATATGGCACAATGGATCTTTCTCTCCTTCTTGGAATGTTCCCTGCCTTGGCTACTTTTTAGTCTCCTTTGATGATCCCTCCTCCTCTGCCCATACTCCTAAATGTAAGTGTCCCCAGGACTCTGTCTTCATTTGCTGGTCTCTGTCCTCACTTTGCATGCTCTCCTTCAGTGAATGTCATGCACTTCCAGCCTCAGCGCTCTCTCTCCCCTCTGACCTTGATTCTCTAACACACCCTTTAAACCACTAGCCTCCTCCCAAGATCTAAATCTCTGTTTCCAATAGCTTGCTTGTTTCTGCACATAGGTGGTCTGCAGGCATTTTTAACTCAGTGTCCCAAGCTAAACTAGTACTTCCAGTTCATTCTCCCAGCCAGCTGAAAGCATCCTATCCCTCTTCCTGTATTCCCAGTCTTGGTGAATAGTGCTCTCCTCCAAGTCACTTAAGCTAGAAACCTCAGAATTTCCCTTGATTCCTCCGCCATCCCCCATACTTAGCTACTTAACAAACCCTACCCATTCTCCCTCTGCGATGTCAAGTGTCTCTCAGGTTTTATTTCCACTGTATAGTTCTGGTTCAAGGCCTTGTGTAACATTACGTTAGTGAGGATTCTGTGTGCCTACCTCTTTACTATAGACCAGACCACTGCATTGCACACGACCAGTGCTGATAACACCCCTCACTCATCCCAGTCACTGTGTCACCAGAGCATCTTTGTAAAAACAGAGATAAGATTCTATCATGTCCATATGCAAAAAAATAGTTCCTGTTCCACTTCTTATATTTAGGTCCCAGCTATTTTTTTTAATTTTAGGTCCTCTCACCTTATACTTTGTCTGATATACCTTACCGTATTCAGGTTACACTTAACCTTTAGACAGTCTTTAAATATGCATGCCCTTTCCCACATCTGGGTTTTTGCTCATGCTGTTTCCCCTGCTGAGAAAGTTCTCTCTCTGTTTCTGACCCCCACACTCAGAGCCATCTTTCCTTGGTTAGAATTAATCCTTCCCACCTTGGTTCTTTAACCCTGACCCCCATCTACCTTACATCATGGTTATTTGTGGGGGGAAATGTGCCATCTCTCCTAGACTGGGAGTACCCAAAGCATAAGCCACATGTCTAGATCCATACCCCCTACATAGTAAATGCTCAATAAGGCAGTTGAATGGGATTGTTTAATTGTTTATTTTTTTTCTACTTGATTGACAGGATCAGTTTGGACATTCTATAAGTGATTATTCAGTATCTCCTGATGGACAGTTTGTTCTTTTAGAGTACAACAATGTGAAGGTAAAATAAATGTTCTCTTACTGTCACCTTTAAAGAATCCTATGAGTATGTTATTTTATAACTGATTTCGAGAATATGAATATTTAACATTGACACCTAAGTAATGTAACAGGCATTAAAAACTCATTATTTCAGCATCAAAAGGAGAAATAGTCATTCTCATTCATAAAAAATAAGTCCATCAAATGTTTTAAAAGAAACTTATGTTCAGTGTTTTCAAATACTAAAAAGTGTAAGTAATATTATAGTACAGCTACTAAAGATATAAGTTAATAAAATAAAACTTATAAGTTAGAAAGTTTACATGTCTGACTTGTGCATCCAGTAATATAACTTCTATTTCCTTTGCCTCAGTTTTACATATAGTAAAACTCTCAATAAGGATTTGCTTTAAAGAGTTAAACATCTCATCCTCTAGAAGAGACCCTGCAAGGTGACCCAGCCCACTTCCCTGCCTCAGGTCCCACCATCTACAAACCATTTTACATGGGGAGCTTCAGCACGGTCATCAACACCCTGAAAGAACACTCAGCTTCCTCTAGTCACCCAGCCCAACATCAAATTCTCTCACATTCAGGAAAGGTTAGAGTTTAATCACACATTTTCTTCATGTTTAGGATGGCTGCAAATCACCAGTCACTTGAACTGCAGCAGTTTCATTAGTTGTGGATTTGACAACACTTGTCAATTATAGGAAGTTCTGAGACGCGTAGGAAAGAATGCAAACCTGTGGATATATTCTACATTGAAAAGAAAATACAAAGCTGGGGAATCCCACCTCTGCCCCCTTTTCTAGAATAAATAACAAATACTAAATGACCTTATCTCACACACCAACGCTGCTGTACTCAGGCCAAGCAAACCATCTCATATTCCATTTCCCATTTGGGGATGGTGACTCCCAATCATAATATTTATCCTGGATTCACTGTGCTGAGCGCCATTTTCTGGACATGAAGACCTGATGGCTGCGTTCTACTAAACTTATCAACTATGAGCAAATCAGAATCCTATGCCAACTTTAACACATCTGTTCCCAAGTAATGGATTATTGTTTGTTTAATTCAATGGTTCCTAATGCTGCCTATAGATTAAAATCACTTGAGGAATTTTTTAAATTTTCCAGTGTCTAGGTCCAATCCCCAGATCAAAAAACTGTGTATGGTGAAGTATGTACGGTGGTGCCAGCATCACTATTATTTTTTTTCAGTGCATAGATTATTCTAATTATCAATCAAGGTTGAGAACCACTGAATAACAGTTGTCCATGTTAAAAACTAATGTATATTTCCCAGTGCTGTTCCCACCCCCCAATTCCCCAATTTAAAAAAAATCTTAAAAAATAAACTAACATATAAAGACTGTGAAGTTAAGGTAGAAATGGAAAAATAAGTGTCAGCTCAATTTACTATTGAGCTCAGTTCAACAAGTGCCATTAGATATGTACTAATGGATGTATCTCACTGGTGGACCTTAGCTCAACAACCATCTTTGATAATTTGTATTTGTTGTGTCACTTGAGTTTACATGTGTATTTCACTGCTTTTGCTATTTTCACTCTGTCACCTTTCTCCTACCATCCAGGCTTTTCAGGCAGTATCCAAGAAGCTCCTTTTAAAACTGACGTTAGATTATGCCATGCCTATGCTTCAACCCTCATGATCATTGACTTCCCATCATCTTCAGAATAAAACGCAAACTCTTACCACAGCATCCTGAAACTCTAACCTCCAATCTTTTGTGATTGGACCCCCATTATGCCTCCCTGAACCCAACTCATACCACCCTCTCTTCATTCCCTCAGTGCTTCCCACCTCTGTGTGCCCCTTAGAATGACCTGGGGCGGGGGGGGGACGGTTAAAAATACAGATGCCAGCAGTCTACCCCACACTAACTCAGCATAGCTATGGGTGGCACCCAGGCATGGGTAGGCTTAAGGGCTCCCAGGTAACCCAGTGATTCAAAGTGAAGAGCCTTTAAGTGTCCTGCTTTTTATTTTAATTAAGCACCACTTTCATTCCTATCTAAAGGCCAAAGCATTTGCTATTGCTTTCACCTGGAACCTTCTTCCTGGAATCATCATATGACTCTCCCTTTTTTGTAATTCAGGTTCAGGCTTGCTTGGATCACTTTAGCTAACATTGCCACTCTGTTCCCCTACATTCCACCATTTACTCTATATCACATTAGCTTATTTCACTTTCTTCATACATTTTATTGCAAAGCACTAAGTATAAGATTATTGAAAGTAGAAAACTATACCTTCTACTTTATTTCTCAGAGTATCTAGTAGAATTTTATGTGCAGCATAAATGTGTTCACTAATCAATGCTCAAGAAACCTATCCAGAGCAACAACATCAACAAAAGTCTAATTTTATCCCATTTCCTTGGAGGTCTACTGTGCAGTGTTCTTTAGAGTCTACTCCATAGCTTCTCTATGGCTGAGCTAGTGCATCCAGAAAGATCAATTATGACTTTTAAGTTACAAAAACTTCAGTCAGTGAGTGAAAACGTAAATGAGGACCACACATCTGGTATAGATATTCTCTTAGCATCTTTACCTATTGTCTAATGCTCTAGAGATAACAATAGGTTCATTATCTGTCACATGTTGACAATTCCTGGAGCCCTACTAAGCACTTCACCTGCATTCTCATGCACCTGAGATTGTTGCCATAATCATTCCCATTTTACTAAAGAGAAAACTGAAGCTTAGGAAGAAACTTCTCTGCTGTTACACATTGGAGACTTGTCTTAGTCCATTCAGGGTGCAATAACAGAATACCACAGACTGGGTGGCTTAACAACAGAATCTATTTCTTGGTCCTGGAGGCTGAGAAGCAAAAATTCAAAGTGCTGGGAGATTCAGTGTCTGCTGAGGTCCTGCTTACTGGGTCATAGTTGGCCATCTCTCTGTGTCCTCACATGGTGGAGGAGGCTAGGAATCTCTCTGGGGTCTCTTTAATAAGGGCACCAATCCCATTCATAAGGTCTCCACCCTCATGATCTAGTCACCTCCCAAAGGCCCCCCTTCCACATATCATCACATCAGGGTTAAGCTTTCAACATATGATTTGGGGGTGGGGGGGCACATACATTCAGTCTATAGCAAGACTTGAATCTGGGTTAGAAGACTCCAAAACTGTGCTCCTAAAATGATCTTTCCTATCTTTGTGCTTTAATTTTTATCTGCTATGATGCTTTCTTTACCTCTTCTCTGTGTGGAAATCCTCTGCCACCAAAACTCAGCCCAAGAGTCACCTTTTTCACAGGGCTCTTTCCCTTGCTAAAGCCTAATATGAGTCCTGACTCTCCCCACCCACCTCCATCGTATCTCTTGTGATTCTTGTATTTACTCACCTATATCCCCCATTCAACTATGAGCTCCTCAAAGAGAAAGAGCCTGACTTACAAAGTAACGCTTCACAGAGGATAGTTGTGAATGTTTATAGCCAAAATAGATCCATGAGTCTGTTTCAAAAGATGAAGTGAACATACCAAACATTTGGGTTTCCTTTTACATCCTATAATGAATCTGTCAAGCTCAAATGATTTCAAACCTTCTAAATCTCTCAGTATTGTTACCCTGAACCACACCTTTTGGCTCTAGCAAGTATTATACTCAGGTTTCCCAGAAACAAGTGTAGGGTTTGTCAAAATAATCCAGTATTTCAAAAGGAATGTACAACTTGCAAAAAGTAGCGACTTAATAAATATTTGTTGACATAAGAGGTTGGGGGTAATAAATGATAAAAGGGAAATACGCTTCAAGGTCAGGAACCTTGGCTTTTGCCATTATACAGCTGGGTCTTTGCTACCTTATTTCATCTATTTAATCCCCATAGTAAAATCTGACTTTTAGTTTAGTTTGGTTTCTTCCTTGAACACATGCTATGTGGCTAGTACTAGACCAAGATCTAGGTATTTAAAGGTGAATATGACATAATTTCTTACCTTTAGGAGGATGGTAGGGAAAATAGACATATAGATGGGTAATTTCTTTTAATTTACATTTGCATCCACACATAAACAATTTTTCATTCATATAATATATATGATTACAGATTTATATTTATATATGCTTTTATCTTCAGCTTTTTCTTTTGCTTCAGATTTTCCATTTTTTCTTGTCTCATTTTTGATAACTTGTCTTTCAAGGAATTTGTCCTTTTGCTAACTTTTAAAATTTATTGGCAAAAAATTGTTTATAATAGTGTCTTATAATCTTTTAACATCTGTAGAGTTTGTTGTGGTATCTCTTTTTCAATTTCTGATATTAGTCATTCATACTATTTTTTCCCTCTCACACTTACTATGTTAGTAATTTTATTAGTTTTTCAAAGAACCAAATTTTTAATTTGTTGATTTATCCCTATTGCATTTATTTCAATGTGATTTCTTCTTTTACCTTTATTATTTATTTTCTTCTTGGATTTGTTTGCTTTTCATTTTTAGCTACTTAAGATGCCATTTAAAATATTGATGTATGTGTTTCAATTTTAATATATATTGTCAGGTGGCTTTTAAAATATCTATAATATTTTATATTTTCATGATCAATGTAGGAAAGTAAAGATTTCTCCACAGCACAACAAGCAATAGAATTATAGATCTTTTAAATATTTTGCTAGTAAGATGGTTGAAAAATAAAAATTTGCACCCTTCTTATACAGGTGAACTCAACATACTGTGGTAAGTGCTAGGAATAATGTTTGCACATGAGGTGGTGCTTCAGCCCCCTGTGGTCCTTGGAAGGCTCCTTGGCAGAGGTGATGCCAAAGTTAGGTGATAGATGAATTCCAGAGGAGTTGGTGCTGGATGGTATCAAATATATTTTCTAATTCCAAAATTCTAAGAATCTAGACAAGGAATTATAAGAAAAAATAAAATTTGAACATCATACATTGTTATATTACTTTGTCTCACGTCTTGAACTCCTATAGCAAGTGGCAAAACTATCAATAATCACAGAAGCCTAAAATGTCTGTTTTCTTGTATAGAAATGGAGGCATTCCTACACAGCTTCATATGATATCTATGACTTAAATAAAAGGTCAGTGACTTCCTCATAAAACCTATTATGCCTTTCTAGTGTAATAATATTTTTTTAGAAAAAAAAAACCCACTGTGACATATTCATTTGGCAGTGTTTCCTTTTCTCTTTTTTCCAGGCAGCTGATTACAGACGAAAGAATTCCAAATGACACACAGTTGATCACATGGTCACCAGAGGGTCATAAATTGGTTAGTGAGTCTCTCCTATAGTCAGAAAAATAATGGCTCAAAATTTTCATATGCAGAAGCTCCTAACCCTGATACAGAACAGACACTCAGGATGCAAAAACTTCACTATCAAATATAAAGTTATTGACTAAAATATCTTACTAATCTAACATAGTAAATGCAATTCTTGAAAGTTTCTGAATTACTATTAGGGAATTGTTTATTTACTGAGAAAATGCTCATTAAGCTCCTAAATTCTAATTTATGTTGTACTTAGGTTTTGTTGTTGTTGTTTTGCTGTTGCTGTTTGTGTTTTGTATTATTTTGTTTTTTGGGGTTTTTTTTTTTGAGGCATACTTGTTTTCTGCTAGTTCCATGACCTCCCCGGTATCACTATGGACATATTTTCACGTTCTATAGTGCTAAGAATATGTTAGAAGTCCAAAAGAATCTAAACAGGAAGATAGAATGTTTATCTGTAACTTCTCCTTCCCAGAAAGAAATACAAAGCACACATCATTCTATAGACGTGGTCAGTCTGCTAGGTTTACTCATACATAAGCATCCAAATAGTGTGGCTGTGAGCATCTTCTTCTTAATAAGGGTATTTTTGTGATTATTTTGGGTTATATCTTGTATACTAACAATTTAAGAATGTGAAGGGGAGGGAGTTAATGACTTCATTTTGCTCAAATTGAATAACTTAAGGTAATCATTGCATTTGCATACCAATATTGTTTTAAGATAAAATAATTGATAAACTTTTTTTTAAACTTCAGGACAAAATAGAACACATTATTACTTATCAATATTATTTTCCATCTTTTCTAGGCATATGTTTGGAAAAATGATATTTATGTAAAAAATGAACCCACTTCATCAGGTCAGAGGATCACATGGAATGGGAAAGAAGATGTAATAAATAATGGAATACCTGACTGGGTTTATGAAGGTAGAGGCTTTAAAGCTTTTCAAATCAGAAAATATGTGTTTTTCAAAGTAGTCAAGGATTTCTTTAAAAAGGGAGAAAGTCCATGGCATTAAAAAAAGTTGCATTTTTTTAAATGTCATGACATCTCATAGCACTCAATACTCGGTATCTCATAGATGAGAATTTCTTAGCAGTGGCTGTTGTTGGTTATGTCCTCATTGTCTCTCAATGCTCCCATTGTCTTTAGTCTGCTGCCACAAAGGGCCCTCCTGTGTAGGTAGCTTTTCAGCTTTACCAGGGCATAAAAGCCTCCAGATTAACATCAGGTGTTTCTCTAACTGGGCCTACCTAACCCAGAAGTTACTAAGGAAAGCTAAGGACTTCAGCAACATTCCAAAAGATGACAAAACATTGTTTGGAGGTTGGGGAGTGGAGGGGGAAAAACGTTTCCTATTTTATATAACATTTGTGTTCATTTGAACTTGGACAAATCCTAATTTTTTATTTTAAAAAAGAAAAAAATAATTAGAAAGGCTTAAGAAAAAAATGGGTCAAAAACAGGATTAAAAATGAGAAAAAGGATTATTTTCTCTTTTAGGATCAAGTGTTTTAGAAAATATTAGAAAAACATTTTAGAAACTTAGAAAATATTGAAAAAACATTATTTTATGTCTATAGTTGCCAAGGCAACAGGCATTTTGAGACTGTTCCAAAGTGTTCACAAAGTTTCTTCATACTTATTAAAGACTCCTCCTTATTTCATCCTATTATTTCTTCTTTATAGTTAAAAAAAAATAATAATTTTTCTTCATAACTTAATTTTGGTTGTTACCCAGTTCTTTAATTAAATGAACATTATTTACAAAGAAAAAAAATCACTTTGAAAGAAAGATAGATTCTCATGGTCCAGAAATAAGTGTTTGATTAAAACTTACAATGAAATTTATTAGCACTAGTCACAGAAATTGAAAAGCATCTTCAACACTGATGCTTTTGGACATCATGGCACTGCCTCCAGGAACCCCGCCGTGAACCCAGTAAAGCCTTTTTCCAAAAATGTGACCCAGCTCTTCCTCTGAACAGCTGAGCGTCTCTAAGATAAGGACTCCCTTAACACTGAAGTCCTTTCTAAGGTAGATAATAGCTGGAGGGATCTCATTTTGCCTGTTCATGACTAAGCCATTCACTAGCAGAAGAATGGCTTCATGGCTCCTATGTGGTGGGCTTGTCTTTTAAAATGAGACGTTGGTTCCTACAAGGAAATTCGTTCAATTGGTTTTGTATATTTACAAATGATCCATACTTAGAAAAGAGCACACCTCTTTCTCCATATATCAGATCCACCCTCTCTACTACAGCCACAATGAGTTGCTGGGATCAAAACAGAGTACATTTTGAGAATCTCTAGCTCATAAGTAAAAGAAAAGTCAAAGCTCCAAGGTCCAGACAGGTCCACGTGCCCCACGGCGGAGGAACATTTACAAAGGAGCTTCCATGCTGGAACTTGTGCGCTCCATCCTACCCCATGACCCCAAATAGCTTTCTCTCTCAATATCTCTGTTTTTACTTTGTCTTATTTAATGATTTTCTAACTGATTATTACTTTACTTTAGTTAACATGTCTTCTTCTTCTTTTTCTTAATGAGAATACTTTATCTCCTAGTATAAAGTTAATTATATGACATTCACTCTTGAGTAGGAATGTAATTTGCCTAACCCAGAGCTCCAAATTAGAATTTTGGTGAGAGCAAGTGTGAGAAGGGATAGAAACAGAAATAGTTTTGGAAAATGGAGCATTCCTTATCCTCTTGAAGTAGTATTGTTCACAGTGAAGAGTGTGGGTAATTCAATGCAGCTCACACTGAGTGCTAACCACCTGCGAGGCATTGTGCCAGGTGCTAGGGACACAGAGACAAATACCAGTGAACTGCTGCTCTCAGGGAATTTAGACCAGAGAGGGAGACAAAGATGCCAACAAATAATTATCATGGAGTGAGTTAAACGCCCTATTCGGGGGAGGACTCTCAATCCAGGGGATATATAAGGAAGGTCAGCGTGCAGGGGTGAAAGGAATCATGGTATGGAGACGGAAGTTCAGAGTGGGGGCGGGGAAAGGGGTGTCATAGACACCTGTGCTCACAGACAGTTTTGTATCAGGAAGGGCTGGACATCTTTTCTTTCCCCTCTTCTCCATTCTCTCTGCCCATGGTCTCTTCATTCTCGGGACTTTCGGTTTGACCAGAAGTAGTTTTATAATAAGAGTTTTAATTATCATTGATATGGAAAAATAGGTCCCGTATTCCAAATAACCACTAATTAAAAACATAGAACACTACTTGCTACCGGCACTTACAAGAAATTTTAAAAGCTATAACCTTGTCATATTCATTTTATGTAATTGCATCTTGGCCTTAGACTAGAACCAATGGGTAGAAGCCTCAAGGAGTGAGACATCAACTCAGTATGTAAAGAAGTCCTTAGTGGCAAAGCCCCTTGATTTAGAATTGCAAGGCCTGCATCCTAGTGCTTGTCCTTAGTTCACTCAATCCCTCTCAGCCTTAGTTGCTTCCTCTGTAAACTGGGCTATGAATAGGCTCACTCAGGGATCTTTGTGAAGACTAAATTAGATAAATGTTTTATAAGCTCTGCATTGCTACATAAATGGTATAAAGCAGTCAAAGCAGGAGTAGGGTGCCTTACCAAGTATTCTGTTACTAGAAGTGCAGAAATAGGCAGGAGGGGACAGTAGAACATGGAGATAAAAAGCATGGACTCACACCAAACAAGTCTGGATTCATTCTTGATTCTATCAATTACTGCCCATGTGACTGGGCAAATTACTTATTCTCTTTAAGCCTACCCACCTCCCTTTGTTCGTGTGCACAATGAGTTATTGTGAGGATTAACTGAGATAATAGATGTCAGTTGCTTATCAATGTCTGGTACATGGTTAGCATTCATTAAATGCCAGCTACGCACCATGATTATTATTATATTGTATTATTGTTATAATTATTATTATGGTAACTAGTACTACTATGTTTATTACTGAAAACAAGTACTTGGAAGAAATTTGTAAGGAAGCCTCAAGAATCAGAAAAATGCTTAGGATATATGGCTTCCTAATTCTAAGATTCAAGTTTCTATGCTTTTGTTTTTATATTTACACTCACAGCTGAACATAAGATTTGTGGATTAAATATGCACAAAGGACTAGGAATCTCTATCTAGTCTACTTGAATCCTCCATTCCCCGTTGGTAAAAGAGGTTCTGGCATTTTAAGAGCCAGAGTTTGGGAGACCTAAGAGTAGACTTCATAATGTATACAGGAAGGAGCTACCCAGGCCAGAGATTGAGAACGAATTTAACAGTGTTATAGAAAGCAAGACCTTCCCTTTCCTTTGCATCCTTCTTTGACCCTTTCCTCACTCATCAGTTTATACACCAGAGGAGGGTGTTAAAATCCAAGGGAATCTTCAGTTTTTAGGCTAGGAGTAGAAGATATTTCTCACTAGGGGTCTCATGGAACTCCTTGTCATTCTAAATCCATGCTTTCTACACCTCGCTGGTGCCAAGAATAGTAAACTCTGGGCACCATATTGGTTTAATAGCATGGAGCCACACACCACCCACCCAGTGGGGGAGAGTTTGCTGGCATGTTGACTGTTAGAAAATTAGAAAGGAGAATCAGCCCCTTGTGTGAAATTTACTTTTAGTATGTTTTATGGCATAAATTTAGAGGCTCATAAGATAAAGAAAAACATATAGAGTTTATATTAAATATTGTGTGCTAAAATATTCTAAAACAGTTCAACGGGTTACTTATTTTTACAATCCAGATCTATCCTTGAAGATTTTGTTTTTATTCATTTGTATTACTCTGATTTTGGAAGCCCGGCAAATGCAAAGTGGTTCATTAGTTGAACTCTACTATAATTACTAAGGCTAATGAGAATAATATTTTGAATGCCAAAGCCAATTTATCAGCTACTTTTTGTAACAGAACAATTTATGCCTTTTTTCAGAGGAAGTCTTCAGTACCCACTCTGCTCTGTGGTGGTCTCCAAACGGCACTTTTTTAGCATATGCCCAATTTAATGACACTGAAGTCCCACCTATTGAATTCTCCATCTACTTGGATGAGTCACTACAGTACCCTAAGACTATGCGTATTCCATATCCAAAGGTCTGTGCTCCTATTCATATACTGGTTCTGTGATTTGATGAGAAGAGAATGGTTTCATTTAATCCTTTCCTGCTAATGAAAATATTGTCAGTCTCTCTTCAACAGCTTGCTGTGATTACTCTTGCTGAAGTCAACAGCATCTGGCAATTTTAAAGTATTTTTATTATCCTAGGAAAGAGTGTGATTTAAGGTTTTGTAATTTCTCCAAAAACTTTGAGGAATGACAAGCCGAAAAAGATGGGGAAAATGCCTTTGAAAGAGGTAGGGGAACTGAAAACGTTTGAATGGAGGAAAAGAGAGGCTATAATTGAATCACAAGCTCATCTCATTTGTAGAAGTTGGAATGTGCCCTAGATGAAGTTGAAAAGCTTGGTTATATATCAGGTTGTATTACTAATTAACAGATACATGACTAGTTTTAGTGGTTCTATTATAGATTTGGCACTAATGTAAATTTCACACATTCTACATTTGGAATAATAGTGTCATGTCTTGGTTTTCAAGGCTGTTCTCTCGCTCTGGGATATATGTTTATGAAAATGGAAGAGCTTTCTTAAGCAGTGTAAGCTGAGGAAGAGGGGAGTTTAGAAAGGAGCCACGATTCTTCATTAGTATCATAATAATAACAGCCACAGTATTGTCCATAGGAAAATCTAATAGTAAAGTATTTTTTGCTATAAGCAATTTGGAAAAAGGAATCTTTTTTGTTTGTTCTATTTACCATCTCTCTTAATTTGTTTTATGAAGAGCTGCCATTTTATGAAGACAGGGGAACAGGGGAAGTTAAAAGAAAAAAAGAGATCAGAGACTAAATATGAAGATATAGTTTCAGTTAAATGTTATTTTTTAATGAGTGAAACTGGCAAAAAACAAACAAACCATAAAACTTTCTTACTAAAAATATATTATTTCTAACTAACTTGCCAGTCAGATCTATGTATATATATAAAAAGGTTTTATAGATTTCTGTCCTACTATTTATTGTCAGCTTCCAACAAGGTAAACCTGAATTTAAAGTGAAAATGATGGCTTCCTAATTAACATTATTGGTTCTTGGTTCAGGGAAACTGATTTTCCTTGTGGACTGTGTCTTTGGCTGAATCCAAAGAATTCTTCGTAGTGTTCAGCCAGCAGACATTTTGTCTTCTGGAGTCAGGGTATATGTGCAAAATAACAGAATTGATTTTAATAAATGTATCCTTGTTTGCATAGAGTATATAAAAATTATGAATATCTATTATTTAAACAGGAGTGTTTTGGGAGTTCATGTTATATATATATATATATATATGTATATATATATATATACACATATATATATATATGACTGCATTATTAAAAAACTGTATTAAAGTTATGCTGATGGTAACCACTTTGAAGTACCTCTTGTAGTTGCAGAAGTCAAATGTGACTTGTATTCATCTTTTGTTATGGGTATATATTGAGTATTACAACTTTAATAGTTTTTTTCCTTTCTTAAAATGTTTATACATTTTTTTGGCACCCTCTGTGTATGTGTGTGTGTGTGTGTGTGTGTGTGTGTGTGTGTGTGTGTATTTCTGCCTGAATATGGAAAGGTTACATTTCCATGATTCTCCCTTATGTTCATTTTATGAATATTAAATTGTTTGCCTATTATAATTGTCTGATTATTATAAGTTTAGGATATATATTAATTTAATTAATAGAATATATAATTAATGTGATTAATTTAATAATATGTATTAAAATATTAAATTGATTATTTTATGGCTGTAATGAAGGCATTTTTGTATAGTTTTAAACTTGTGCAATGATGTTATATTTTTGGTCAATACCAATTTCATGATTGTTTTTCCTAGGCAGGAGCTATGAATCCAACTGTAAAGGTCTTTGTTGTAAATACCGACAATCTCACCAATGCAGTTCCTAAGCAAATCGTTGCTCCTGCTTCTGTGTTAATAGGGTAAGACTCTTGACCCAAATGCCTGGGTAGTTTCATAACTCCCAGGGAGAATATTTTAAAAATGAATAGCAGAATCAATGGTAGCCTCCCATGGTGTCACCCAGGCTGGCAGCCATTCATTCTTGTTCTAAGTCACTCCTTGTTGAGCACACTTTGTGTCTCTGTGCTGGGCACAGTTGAGTGATAGGGTTGCACAATAAACAGAGCAGCCAGAGTCCCTGGTGTCATGGAAACTACACTCAAGGTGGGGAAGGTCGATAACCACCAGGGAAACAAAGATATAAAATATCAGGTGGTGACAAATGTTGTGAAGACAACCAAAGCAGGGCAATGGTGATGGTGATGGTGACGGTGAAGATGATGGTGGGGGCGGATCATGAGAAGTCTCTCTGATGAGATGAGTTGTGAGCAGTGATGTGAAGAAAGAGGGGGATCTAGCCACACGGAAAGCTGGGGGCACCATAGCTGGGCAGAAGCAGAGTAAGTGCAAAGACCCTGCAGAGGGAACATGCTTGATGCCTTAGAGGAGGACAAGGTGACCGGAGCCATCTGAGTGAAGAGGACAGTGATAGGAGTAAGGTCAGATCACATGAGGTTTTGCAGGTCCTCATAAGAACTAGAGAAATTCAGGGAATCTGTGGATTAAATTTAGGGATCCTCATGATGCTGATGTGCCTCCGAATGTGAGCTGCCTAAATAATCCTTGATGGCTTAAAATTCTGCCATTGAGCACCCTCTGCCCCTTGTTATTTTCCTGTAAAGATAACCTCTGTATTGCATGCAATTTAGGGCTATCAAGTTGCTCCCTATTCATTTATTTTATTTATGTGGTTTTGTTGTTACTTTTAAAGAGTAACATATATTCAACACTCACTGTGTACAAGACACAGGGCATTATCACATGCTTTATCTTATTAATCTTTAAAGTAACTCTCTTTTTCCAATAACTGTTTTCATACACCTGTACTACAGATAATAAAATGAGGCCTAGAGGTTAAGAAAATGACCAAGTAGGAGTCTGTATTCAAACCTGTCTTTCTGGGCCGGCCGAGTGGCTCAGTTGGTTAAGAGCTCTCTCAAGAGTGTGAGCTCTGAGCAACTAGCGGTTTGATTCCTGGCCTGAGCTGAGCTGCCACTGAGCTGCCAACAGGTAGCAGGATGGCTCAGCTAAAAACAAAACAAAACAAAAAAAGAAATAAGAGACTCAAACCTGTCTTTCTGACTTGAGAAAAAGAACTTCTGAGCCCTCTGCTAGGTGTCCCCCACTATGTGAATTCAGCTTGTGCCCTCAGATTCTTGAAGTTGTCATCAAAGCAACATGGAAGCATCCACTTTCTCAGTATTGCATTTACTACATCAGGCATGCTGTAGGCTTTGCTCTGTGGTTATTAATTCATTGACTTGGTTAGAAATATTTATATTAACATATTCATTCAGGGGGGAGATCAATTATCAGTTAATTTAAAATATTTTTTTTCCTGAGTTTCTCCAAGGGTGTAAATATTTACCCAGGGGCTCTAAAATCTGATGTTTGGTCTCATCTAGCCGTTTCTTCAATCAGCATTGATTGAACACCCACTATTTACACACACAAACATCCTCAAGTGAGCTTCTGCCCTCCTAGGACTTACGATCCAGTAGAGGATATAAATCATTCCTATAAACTACTCCAAAGGCCAATGTGATGGCAGTATAAACAAAAGGCTGGTGGCATTCTGAGGAGGAGGAGGAGGAGGGGAATGACCCAGGGATCAAAGAAAGCATCCTGGAGAATGTGCGGATTGAACAGACAGGATGCTCATAGCAGGGCACAATGCAGAGGAAGAGCACTGACGTGGAAGGAACTAAGGGCCTGAGAAAATGCATGGCTATCCAGGAAAGCACAGCGGGGCCGGGTGTGATCTCTTTGTCTACAAGTAATATCTGTCTGCGGGAAGAATGAACCATGAGCTCCTGCTCTGAAAAATATTAGATCTAGAAAGGGCTTTAGACCTCACCAGTGGTTGACAGACTTTTTTTTAAGGACTCAGAAACCTTTGTTCAAGTGAGATGTCACACAGAAGTGCAGAGCCAGAAAACACATGGAAGACCACTGCTCAGATGGCAGGCCCAGTCCTGGTCCCCTTGCCTTCCCCCCGGAAGTCTCAGGAGATTAGACAGAGCCTGCAGGGGCTCCAGAATACCACTGTGAGACTCAGATGAAAACGCTGAGGTTCACAAAGGTAAACTCATTTTCTCAAGGTCACACAGCAAGTTCGCATGGGAGCTGGTAATAAGACAGTGGCCAGCAGCTGCCAGACCGAATAACTGAATCATTAATGTACTCAGTGTTTCCTGTGGGTGGGGACTGTGCTTGGTGTCTTCGGGTATCATTTATTCCACAGACATTCCCTGTGGTGCCATTTTCACAACCATTTCACAGATGAAGAGATGGAGTCTTCCCCACTTAGGAATCACTTTCCAAGGTGCAGTAGTGAAATGCTGAGCTCAAGAAGCTTAAACAGTTCTAAGGACTTAGTGTTCACCCTATATGAATGAATCATTAAGTCTTTGTGCTTTGTAGTTCTTTACGCGGCACTCATGGTGCCTCGCTCACTGGGGATATTTTGTGTGGAACATATTTTACCAACGAATTGTTCTCAGAAATGCCACAGGAATATGTTGTATAGGAAATTGCAAATCCAGCTCTGGTCTCTGTTAACACCAGTAAGGACCTAGCTTTTCTAAAACCAGGCTTGAGGTCCTTTTGGGGGAAAACGTTCTAACACATGGTGGTGCTCCGCTTCCTGGCCTCATACAAAGATCCAGCAAGGCCAAATTAACCCAGGCGCCGTATGCCTCTTAATAAACTGCCCAGCAGCCTCTGCAGTGTTGCCTAGTAATTTAGTATTTCTGTAGTGTGAGGCCATGCTAGGATCAGCATGATTCTTCCCTCCTCTGCCCATGCACCCATCACTAATTTTCCCGTTAGGTCATGACCTTTCACCACAGAGTTCCCAGCAGGTGAAATCCTACAGGAGGAGAAAGCTGGGTTGCGGTTTGTTAGGAATGGTCCCCTCTGATAACAAGTGAGAAGGTCATCCAGGTCACTCTGCCAGTGACCCGATCTTGAACCGGAATCAGGGTGAGCCTCCCTGCTGCCCTCACTGACTTAGAGCTCGAGTTGCTTAGATTTCTTAAGCTGTTTGTTTATATTGACTACACATGCTGGGAATTTGAGAGCTCAAAACACTTGGGAGAAAACAACATATAATGTGAAATCATAAGCCTCCTAATTGCTTTATTTAGAGCAGTGCTTCACATTGCTGGATTGAAGTAAAACAAGTTCTACAGGTAGGGGACCAATCTTATACTAATATTGCCAGAGCCTAGCAGGGTGCCGAGGACATAGCAAGTGCCCAATTAATATTTATACAATACATGGACAAAGTTGAGGCCTACATGAATGGATGGATAGATGATTTCGTGTGTATGAAATAGGAGTTTATATAGCCAGCACCAAACATGGCTTCAAAATGACTTTGCATAGCAATCCCTGTTTTCTGTCTTCTCCTAGCCATTTGTAAATTCTGTGGCCTGAAGCTGGAAGATTGAGGAGGGTGAATCCTACTGTGGTGACCCCACCTGACATCTGCTTAATGGCTTTAAGGTCCCATCACACCCAGCTCATGATCTGCCCCACCCTGATCTCTGCTATGTCTCCCCTGAACAATTGATGACCCTTGGTCTATAAAGAAGGGACATCAGGGTTTGGGACTGTCACAGAGGAGATTAACTGAACTGGACTGAAGTACCCTGGAAGCTAGTGACACCTGCAAGAAAGGAGCCAGATTAGGAGCTCACATGTTAGAGTACTGATCCCTCAGATCTGCTCCGTGTCACCCCACCCATTCCTCTCCTCAGCGATCTGTCAGCAGCCCCAGGAGGGTTGGCATCCCTATCAGAGCAGAGGGTGGCATGGAGCCCAAGGCCAGCACTGGCAGAACGCCCGCTTCCTTGGGTGATTCACTGAATTAATCACTCTGCCGTCTGCACTAGCTCTTAGTAGCAGTTTTTTCTCCAGTATTCTTTCTAGTTGGTAATGAGTACCTTATTGTAAGCATCCTTAATGTACCAAAAGAAACATTTATACAAATTAGAGGAATTAATGTCACTCAACAGACATTTATTAAATGCCTACTGTTTGCAAGGCAACAGTCACTTTACAACGGGATTCCCTGTAGTGTGACTTTAAAAAGCAAGTCTCTCTCAGTGCATTTCAATATGATTTGCTTTATAAATTTCAATTATTCAATTTACACACACTCTCTAGGAATAAATAGATTTCACACAGTGAGGAATTTTATCCTGAAAAGAAGCAAGAGAGTGGACCTAGCAATGTTTACCAGAGGGATGGGTAGAGGTTCCACAGGGGTGCAGAAAATCTGAAGCCAACTGCTCAATTTGAATCCTGGCACCAACACCTTCCAGTACGTGACTTTGGGCAAGTTACTTAACTTCTCTGCACTGCCATTTTTTTTGTCTGCAAAACATGAACTCTAACATTCCTACCACACATGGTGGTCATGAGTTTTATGTCAAGCACTGAGAACAACGGCTCCTGGCATGTAGTAGATTCCACGTAGGTGTAACCAGTTATTATTAAATTACTCCATTGCTTTAGTATTAAAACCAACCATATTCCCCTGGGACAGACCCCTTCCAGAAGTTAGAAGAGCTTGTTTAATCACTGTGTCTAACCTGGGATAGGCAGTCGCCATCTGAAAGGGAGGTAAGACTGCCTGTACAGTCACCCTTCCAGCCCTCACCCAACCGTTACATAGCCAGCGTCTACTCAATAGTTGCCTCTCTGTTTTTGCAGAATGAAGTCAGCATGTTGTCCAAAGTATAGCTGATAATCCTGCTTGTTGGGTTTTTCTGGTTTTAAATGGGGACTTAAACCAGTAAAAAGTACAATAGACCCATTGGTTTCCTTATTTTTTCATGACTTATTTACATCTGGCCCTAGCATGATCTCAACTCAGGCTTGGGCTATGCACCCTCATTCTATCTCTCCCTGATTCCAAATCCCAAACAGAAACTTTGATTGAAGAGAAGTATGTATATGCAAGAATTCAACATTTACTGTCTGCTGGCTGGTAAACCATTTTATTGGGCACTCACAAGGTACAAAGTACACCTTAGGCTATGGAGGAGACAGTTCATGAACTTCTGATCTAGAAATAGGCAGAGAGATGGGCAGAGAAGATGCCAGAGGCATGTGAGTTTCCTGGCAAACTCCCCAAATCCCATTACTCAATGTTTTCAAATGGGAAAAAGTTACTTTTCTATGGCTGATTTCTGAAACTGAAAGCATAATTATGGCTGTTAGTCGATACAGCACTCAGTACCAGGTGACACACTGATCATGTGTAAAGGTTTTCTACCCCCCTCAACTGTCCCTTCCTGCTACCAGGCCACCTTAGAAAAGGAGAAGGCTCCTTTGGGTGCCCAGGTTCCTAATGAATGTTCCTAATGGATGTGTGTATGGATGTGGAGATACTTTTTTGTACCCCTAGAAAGAGGTACATAACTTTCATCAGATTTACAAAGCGTTTTTTACCTAAAACGATAAGAACTACTGGTGTAGAGTAGAGATTAGCACACCAGGGCCCACTAGGCAAATCCTTACCCCCCAGATCATCTTGTATGACCTGCAAGTAGGAATGGTTTTTACATTTTTGAATGTTTGGGAAGAAAAATCAAAAGAAGAATCATACTTTATGCCATTTGAAAATTACTCGATCTTCAAATCTCAGCGTTTCATTGGAACCCGGCCACACGCATTCACTTACTTATTGTCTCAGGCTGCTTTTGTGCTGCAAAGACAGAGTTGAGTGGTTGTGACAGAGGAGAGCATGTGGCTCTCAAAGCTTAAAAAATTTACTCTCTAGTTCTTTACTGAAAACGTTTTCCAATGCCTGGTTTAGAAAATTAACTTCAAAAAGTTTCATTTCCTGCCTTGCCTTTCATTCTTGCATTCCCTTTGCAAGTATTTATTCCCTGTCAGATTTATTTACCTTTCTATGTTCTCATGTAATGCCTCTCTGTATTGGGCACAATGCAGAAAAGTTAGACTAGATGGGGTGCCCTTGCTCCTGGGCATGGAAAGCAGCTTTCCCGCTGTCAGATCCTGTGGTGGCCTGGCACCTCGTGATATGTGCCATCAGACTGGTGAAAGGGGTGTATAAGGAGGGGTGTTTCCAAGAAAGCATCGTGGACGGGGAATATTTGAGTAAGACCTAAAGGAGTTAGAGTATGGCAGTCCTTTCAGACTGAAGGGCAAGTAGAGCAAAGCCGGAGAGCTGGGAAACCTCAGAGGGTGTTCATGAAATACCAGCCATGCAGACTAGGTAAGCAAGAGAAAGGGAGAAGAGGCCCTGCTTGTGGGAAAGCGGTGCTTTGCTGTTAGGTGAAGGGGTTTAATCTTTCAGTGTCTACCACCTGCAGTGGGGTCAGCCTGGAGGCCCAGGTAACCCTGGATGTACGCATACATTAAGTATCCCCAGCTGTAAAAGGGAGATAATGAAATGATGAGGGGTTTAATGCACTTTATCCAGCACCTGATCCATACTACGTGCTCAATATTTGTTGTTTGATTTAGTGACTGTGAAGAGAGTGGAGACAGGAAGTGATCTGTTGACTTCTGAGGAAGGACAGAGCTAGTTAGGCCACAAAGAGCAGGATAGGATGTTTTCCTTTCTTCAGTGCTGCATGTTACAGTATTTTAGTGAGCACCTGTTTTGTGCCAGGTACTCTGCTAGACCCTGGGGTATCCTGTGAACAAGACAGCTGGGACCCTGCCTCAGGGAGCTTGTAGTCAAGCAAGGGGAACAAAGTGACAAGAGGAGGGACAGGCACAGCCTGTGTAGGAAAGAGCAAGGGAGGGTTTTAGAGCATTTGGAGGCGGGGTGAGGGAGGAGAGAATACAGACATAGAGCCAGACTGCAAAATGGGGGAAGAAGAGATTCCTTTGGAATCCTTCTGACAAAAGGAAGCAAAGCTTTGATCAGACAGGAGAGGAGAGTGATTTAAGAATAGTCAGACAAAAATCACACTGAGAGGTGGGTGAGCAAATAAAATAAAATATCCAGAGCAAACAGTGTTAGGGAGGCTAGCAAAAAAGTAAATTGTGAATTCCATGCATCTCACTACAAATCAAAATGTTGTTCCAAAAATTTTTAAAGTTATGTGTGGGCGGAGGGTGCACTGCTAGAGATATCTCTATTTGTACACATTTATGTTAAAATACCAAAAGGGTTTCTTAATTTCTTCACATGGTTCATGTTTTGACTCTTGAGAAAAGTTTTTTATTATCTTATTTTCAGAATTTGTAGAGATGTGAGTCAATTTTTTCCCCTCTGAAAATAAAGTTGAGAAAAGGGTCAGCTGTAGTTTTACCCTAATAGGAAGAATTTTCTAGAGAAGCATGTCAAATTACCAGAAAATACCTGAATCTCAGCCAGTGTCCCTGGCTTTACAGTAATGGCCTCATAAGATAGCAGAAAAGAGATGGGAAAATGTCACCATGGACTTAATGGCACCACCAAAGGCCAAGTTGAGGACTTGAAAAATCCTAAGCCATGCTGTTCGTCACGTATACTAAACCACTGTATGATGTTAGCTGCTTTTTTTTCCTGTCATATTTATTTTAATTTCCTAAATTATGCTTTAAACTTTAAGAAAAAGTAAAATATTATGGTGTCAAGGTAAGGACGTCCAAACCTGTAGAGAATTTTTATAAAAATTTGTTTGAGCCAAACAGAGGGTATGCCTGGAAGCAAGATCTCAACAGACTGAGAAAAAAATGCTTCAGACAATGGCTGTTTGATGCTCTTTTTATGCATGTGGAATTAAGGAGAGACTGTATGGAAGATGACATAAAGGTGGGAGAAGGCAAGGCGGGTATTGGATTACAAAATAGTTAACACGATTATGTGCTCTCTTGAGGGTGGTTTTTCTTCTGAAGGGTCTAAAAAGAGGCATTTCAAAGGTGTGTTAACCTGGATGCACAGAAACAGTGGACAGGGCTTGCTTACCACAAAGGTAAACCTTTTACTAAAGGAGTTATATTCCTGGGGTGTGACCACCCACTATGACCTGCCCCTTTAGGAATGTATCATCAGATCACTTTATGAGTTTACTTTCCACAGAACCCCTTGAATGCTTTCAACAACCATGTAAAATTGTATTCCCATTAAGATTCATTTTATTGAGTAAAATGTCTATTTGTATCAAGATTCGGAATTAATTAATTAATTATAATTAATCGTTCCTTGTTTCCTTCCTTCCATCCTTCCTTCCTTCCTTCCAGGGATCACTACTTGTGTGATGTGACATGGGTAACCAAGGACAGGATTTCTTTGCAATGGCTCCGGAGGATTCAGAACTATTCAGTCATGGATATTTGTGACTATGAGTCTAATGGAAGATGGGATTGCTCAGTGGTAAGGCTGAAGGGGATGTTCTGCTTCTACATGTCATCATCAAAGGGCTGTGTGAAAACAAGGAGAGAGCGAGTGGTTGAGAATCAAGAAATGGAGTTTGAGTTTCTGTTCTTTCTAACTCTTGTCTGACCTTGAGGCATCAGGCCAGTCTTGACTAACTTTTAGATAATCTGATATCTGGTGGTGCTTCTGTTTTCACCTTCGCTCACTAGTCATACTGTTTTGGTTATGGATACTATCACTTGGGAAGGAGGGTGATCGTAGACCCAGAAGATAGAATTTGATGTCAAAATTCAAAAGTCCAAGAAAGCCAGGGGTTTGAAGGTCAATGATATGTGTTTCAATAGAGAAAATACAGGAAATGGAGAATGACTGACTGGCTGAGCACATGTGAAACAAAAGAAATCTCAAGAGGCTACAGGTCTATTACCATACTGTGACTATCTTTAAGCAATAAACAGCTTTACAGTTTAAATAGATAACTACTAGTCTGAGAAGGCGGCAACATTGAAGCAAATACGAGAGTGAATTCAACTTTGAGGTGCTGGAGGTGTTTCCAGCCAAGAGACCACAAGGTCTAGGCATGCTGGTGGATCAGAATTAAAACCTTTTTGGGAGCCAGTCCCTTCAGGAGGGGTATAGCCTGGTGGAGATTTGCTGGCATATGTCAGGGGCACCTCTACAAACTGCTTCTCTAGTAATGGGCCTTACATACCTCCCCTTGCTGCTCCCATCTTGATTGGGCACAGGGCAGATTCTCACTTCAGAAAGTTTGGGCGCCTCATATCTTAAATCACTCTTTAGTTTCTTTATGCAACAAACATTGAATACAGTATTATGTTCCAAGCTCTAGGCTAAGCTCTGGATATATTTTTTTTAATTATGCAGCATGCCTTCTCCCAAAATGTTTATGTTCTAGTATGGAATACCATTATGAAAATCAATAACAATAGTTACCATTTCTTGCACACTCACAGTAGCCACATACTGTGGAGAATGAGGCTCAATAAGATTAGGGAGCTCGCTTTGCTCCCCTGACAGCCAGAATGCAAACTGCCATACCCAAGCTCTGCTTCCTGTCAATTAAACCATCCTAAGTTCAGGGTACTGAGCCCTAAAAGGGTATAAGCAAGGTATTAGAAATGTAGAGCAAAGGAAAACGATCAGCTCGACTGAGAGCAGGCACAGTGGGAAGGGATATGATGTGGAGGAGACCTGGAGCCCTCTGGAATAGGTTCCCATATGCTGGGTAGATATGGACGTAAGGGCCCCATGTGCAGGAGCTGTGCGAAGGCATTCAGTGTGAATGGGTACTTAGGTTCTGAGGGTACTTAGGACTAGGGGTCGGGGGAGAGGGACAGCGGTGACAGCTGACTAAGGGTCAGGTGCTATTCTGAGGAGTTTGGACTTGTAAGACATGGCGAGGTATTTCATGGTTTTAAATAGGAGAGAATCATAATGAGATAGAGCTGTCTATTGCCAAATGAGGTTGGCTGGGGGTTGAGCAGGGTGGAGAGCTGACTGGAAGGACAGAAGAGCAGCAGGGTCTCTAACCAAGAGATCAGGGCACTGGACCAAGGGAAGCCTGACAGGACATGAACTATGGCGGTAGTGGTAGAGAAAGACACGAGAAGCCAAAGAACTAGATCGCAGGGGCTGAGGGCCGTGAGCGAGAAAAGTAGGAGTCTAGAATGATTCCCAGGTCTCCAGCTTGGGTGAATTGGTGCCACTAACCAGGAGAAGAATGAAGGAGTAAGAATAAGCGTGTGGGGATGGAGGAGAGATAGATAGCATTATCTTCAGCAGTGTACATGAATTGAAATGCTGGTAGAGCTCCCAGGTCAGCATGTGGGTGTGGACCCAGGACAGAGCTCTAGGAAAGAGAAGTAAATGATGTAATTATGTAAATATACTAACATAGATACAAATATATGAATGGAGAAAGTTTTCAGTTATTTTATTATAAGTGCAATTTTGCTTATATTACCACAAAGTGAGGCTAAAGAATCGAATTCATATCTCATTTCTCTTTGAAACACTGTCTTTTTCCATCCCTAGGCACGGCAACACATTGAAACAAGTACGACTGGCTGGGTTGGAAGAGTAAGTGCTTCAGAGTTATGGGTTTTCCTGTAGTATGGAACAGATACTCAGAGCTCTTTAATATGTAGACATACCAAACAAGGGCCCTATGTTATTTATTAATAATGGAGATATTAGTTGACCTATTCCTGAAAATATTTAAATTCTCCCTGTAGAGATATCTTTTTATAGAGAACATATAGCATATTCAGTTGGCAAAAGTAAAGGGACAAATGGAAAATCAAGGAAGAGCAGACAAAACAAGACATACTCGAGGCGTATGGTAGCTCCCGGTAAGTTAAAAGCTACCGTTGCTGAAAGGCAGCTAAGACTCTGAATGTACTCATTGACCTCACATTTGCAGTTCTGCGCTTCAGAGGCAGAAAACACGATTTCCATCACAGCCTGCACAAATATGTAAGGAGATGTGACTACTGTACATCCGGCAGATATTCAGTGGCATACACACCACACCCACACTATGCATCTCTCTTTGGAGGGAAGTGTACTCATGTGGGTTCACACTTTGATGGGCCCCTTATACAGAGCTGTGTCCAAAAAGCATGGTGACCCTCAGTGACTTGCACACTTCTCACTCCCACCGAGCTACGCCTTAGGCAGAATCACTGGCCACATCACACTACGACCATGCAATGCAGCATGTTGATGAGGGAACTCCAGCCATTGTTTCATCTCATGTGAAAGATGAAGACTGAATCTCACCGGATTTTTATGACCACTTCTATTAAGCCCCTTTTAAGAGAGAAACAAAGTGAGACAAAACATGTCAAGATTTCACATCTCTAGGGGTATTGATGTGAGGCCCCCTGGTCTAGGAGCATGGCCCCTTCCAGCTGGGGTGGGAGCTCCAATAGCATTCACACGTCCCTTTTCTTCAGGCATTGATTGGGCAGAGGGGAGAGGTTTGCCAACATGAAAAGTGGTTTCCTCCGTGGCAAGAGACATGCTACGCTTCCTCACGACTCTTAGAAAAAAATATGTTTTTTCCTCTCTGTATTTAACCAGACAGATGCCACTTTTCACACATTTCTACTAGGCACAACTCCATCCAGGGGAAACAGGGAAATGTATTAAAAAGATAAGGCTGTGAACACAGGTCTAGAGAGGGGAATGTGTTTCAGAGCTCTGTAATGAGAACACCAGTGTACTGCACGCCTCAGCTTGCTCCATAAATGAATTCACTTTGAATCACTAAATAGAACAGGGAAGCGTTTTCCTTCGTTCCCCAAATGGGAGCTGATGAGATAGGAAACATCCAGAGTGAAGTGAACCAACAATTTAAAAGACCGTCTCCTACCTGCTCTCACATGTAGTAAGGAAATCGGTTACAAAGTGACATATTCCTTTCAGGCTGGGGTAGATCATCTTCTGCTCAAAACTACATTATGTTCTGAGAACTATCTTTTATCAAACCATAAAAATTTGGAAATTCCGTTCTATATTTCCATACAACTATTTTTTTGTAAACTGTTGATCCTATGTAGCAAAATGGAAAGGCTCATGATAAAATGATAACTATATTCATGTTTCTGTACTGAAATATATGACATACTCCTTAGAGTATCTAGTCCAGAAATGGTTCAAGACTTTCTAAGCCTGACTTTCAAAAAGACATATGTCTAAAAGACAGGGAGAAAAATGTCCCTCAAATTACAAACCATGTCCAACCTAAAATAGTCAAAAATAATATTTGTGTGTTTTAAGAAAGCACATATGTGACACTGAGGAAACTCCTTGAAACTGAAAAGCTAATGCTGATTTTTGCACAATTAACACTCAGAAGTCATAGAGTTGGGCAGTACATGGGGGGAGGGGGGTTGTTACTTTGTGTGGGTGAAAAGGATAACTTGCATTGTTCTGTACACCTGAAACTAACAATAAAAAATTTTAAAAAAAAAGAAGTCATAGAGTTATCCTCCAAAGAGAAAAAGATGTCCAGGAATAACAGTAACCACTGCTTTGTATTGCGTATCCTTTGTAAAGTAAGCATCCTTATGTTCATTCTCTCATTTACTCTTCACAGAAAAATTCCTTAGGAGTTAGATCTTTTTGTCTGCATTTTCTAGAAGGAGAATTTTCTTTTGAGACACTGGTTTCATTTGCCAAGTAAATGAAGCACAGGTGTTGAGAGGACTTTCTAAAACTAAAGTTGGTACTGAGATAAAACTAATGTGTTTTAACCTGTTTTTTGTTTTACATTATTTTCTAGTTTAGGCCTTCAGAACCTCATTTTACCTCTGATGGGAATAGCTTCTACAAAATCATCAGTGACAAAGAGGGCTACAAACACATTTGTTTTTTCCAAATAGGTAAAGAAGTGAGTATTCTTACATAATTTATTTCAGGTTGATCTCCTTTTTTTTGAAACTCACTTGAAGTGAAAGTCATTTGGTAAAGTCAATCAATATGTTCAAATAATCAGACTAATTCAAATTCCTTGGAAGTATCTGGAGTAAAGTGGATGGAGACCCAAGAAAAAGATGAGATTATCTGAATTCCGGATATAAATGATTTAATTAATCCTCCACTTAACCTTGACTAAAGAGTCTAATCAACCTCTTTTTTTAATCCCATCAGAATTGCACATTTCTTACAAAAGGAGCCTGGGAAGTCATCAGTATAGAAGCTCTTACCAGTTATTACCTGTGAGTATTCTAATAATTGATAGGATGTGAAAATGCTCCCTAGTCGTAATAACACCCTCTTTGCCCAGAAATGGGAAAAAAATCTCCTACAAATAAAGAGTAGTCTGTTTGGAATGTGTTCAGTACACTTTTTTATTTTTAACATACGGAAGCCTTAATGATTTTCACATATGCTTAGCAGATTTGATACCCTGCCACCAAGCAGCAGTACCTCTTGCTCTTACCTGCTTTACAGCAGAAGAGCTGTAACCTCTTTTTCTTAACCGTCTTGAAATACTGAACTAGCACTCAGGGGCATTTTGTTAAATTTCAGCTGGCACTGAATTTTTGGAAGGCTCGGAGAGGCTATTTTCTCTCTCCATGTCTCAGCCTTACTCTTTGAAAAATGGAAAGCTTTGCAGGGGCTATCAATGGCCATGCACGAGTTGGTGGGAAAGAGAGTGCTAATTTTCATTAGAATGTTAAGCATGTTTACAATTTTTTTATTGGTCTCAGCTGGAAGAATTTTGCCACTGCCCAAAGCAGTTTATGAAGGTTCTCTTTAGAGGTGGTTTCTGCCACTCTTAGGAAGACGCAGCCATCTAGAAGTTTGTGCTATAAATCAGAAAATATGGAAAACCATATAGAGCCCTGGTTCTCAACCTTCCTAATGCCGCGACCCCTTAATACAGTTCCTCATGTTGTGGTGACCCCCAACCATAAAATTATTTTCATTGCTACTCCACAACTGTAATTTTGCTACTGTTATGAATCGTAATGTAAATATCTTTTTGTTTTCCGATGGTCTTAGGCAACCCCCATGAAAGGGTCATTCGACCCCCAAAGGGGTTGCGACCCACAGGTTGAGAAACGCTGTAGAGAAATGGGGTCTTAACTTCAGGCTAGTTGCCCAGTCTTATTTTTCTTACAAAAGACTTGAATTTTTTCTTGTCATTTAAATTAAGTGAGCATTCAGATATTTTAGTCTGTTAAATAAAAAGAATTTCCTATTTAGAGATGATGGGGGAAGTGGTTTCTGGGTATGAGGGTACAGGGAACAATGAAAAGAAAGGCAAGCACTAATGCCCACGCATTTGTATGAGCGCCAATGCTTGGTGTTGAGTAAATGGAGTGTACATAATTAATATATATTTCATTTGTTTTCTTCCCAGATACTACATTAGTAATGAAAATAAAGGCATGCCAGGAGGAAGAAATCTTTATAAGTAAGGGCACAATCGAGTTGTTGACTTAAGTCTTTTTAGCTGATGAATAATTTCTGGACTCTTTTTTTTTCCCTTGTCCTAACTAATATATTAAACTGAAATTGCTCTCAAATGCTTCCATTCCATTATAAATCAATCTGCATGTCAACAAAAAAAAAGATGAAATGTTTTGTGATATTTTCAAACAATAGAAGGTTGGAGGTTATTATGAATTAATTTGTGTACTTACCTCACTTTAAAAGATTTGGAGGATTGCTTTGGCATTCTGATATCTTTGAAACTAAAATATGGCATTATTCAGTTCCTTCCTTTCATTTTCCTTTAATCAAACACTTAACTTCCACCATTGGTTTTACAGAATCAAACTTAATGACTACACAAACGTGACATGCATTAGTTGTGAGCTGAAACCAAATGAGTGTCAGTACTATTCTGCATCATTTAGTAAAGAGGCGAAGTACTATCAACTCAGATGTTCAGGTAAGTTGGAACTGACGACAGGGAGGAAGAGCAGCAGCGCTGGGGCCTCACAATGTTCATCCGTGGTAGTTCCCTCCATTGCCTCAGCTTTCATGCTTTCCCTTCCCAGCTGATGGTATTCCCTCTCTCTCCACAACCTTCTTTCCACCCTTCTGGCTCAGTGTCTTCCACCCTGAAGCCTCTCTTTCTATGTTCAGTTTAGGAAACACTCTTTCTGCCCTGCTCAATTCTCTCCTTTTGCATCTGAGGAGTTCTTGAAATCCTGTTAAGTCCTCTTGTCTTCACTCACGTTTAAGTGGTGAGTTAATCACCCTTCCTTCCTCTTCTAACCAAGAAGCTCGCTTTAGACCGAAAACACTCACACCCTAGAGCTTATGTATAACAGAGACACTTTATCCTTATCTACACACATATTGTGGGTTTTTAAAAATTATTATTTTATGCACTTGCCCCTTTAAATGAGAAAATGGATGTGGGTGGTGCCTGTCCCTCAATATGCTCATAGCTCTACCTTCTATTGCTATTGCTATGACTGTTTTCTTTATTATAGATGAAGAAACCTGGACAAGGTGAGGCAAGGTGACATCCACAGGTCACACAGCTAATAAAGGCACAACAGTATTCAAACACAGGCCTCGGCCGCCTGAGCTCTCCATTAGGCACTATGCTAGATTACTTCTCAAAATGACAGAAAGAATCTGTATATTCTGAACAGAACTGTCCATCACCAAAAAGAGGTCTCCAAACCAGTTACTTGAATCTTTCTTTACTAGCATATTTTCTTCACTATTATACTTTTCTTTATGGTTCTTTACCATGGCTGTTTCAGTCACCATTTCTCAGGCATGGGTTTTAATACTAGGCATTGTGCTAAAAGCTTTACATTCATGATCTTGTTTGATCCTTAAGAAAACTCTATCATGTTGATAATCTTATCCTCATTTTATATGTGAGGAGAGTGAAGCATGGATATGTTATCCTAAGTCACATGACAGGTAAGCCAAATTCAAACCCAGGTCTGTATAATGCCTCTGCTGTTGTTCTGATCAAGTGTAAAAATTAGTAGTATTATCTAAATGCATCAAAATTAAATAGCTTTTCTATACATTACCGCCCACTCTGCAACTACCACGGTTGGGATAGATAGTGAAGATATGTGTGGATGAGAAAAACACTTTGCATGCCAGAAAGGAATTGCTTATCCAAGTGAGGCTCTCTGCAGATGTGCTGCAGGACTCCACGGGGTGGGGACAGCAGAAGGGAAATACTCTCCCAGGTGAGGCTGGCTCCGGAGCTCTGCCTTAAGGAGGGTGGGGCCCGAGAGCTGGTTTGATTTTAGCAGGATTGTGGATTTAGAGAGCCAGGAAGAACAGCAGCTTTCCTGGGGTCCTTATGCTTAGGGCACAAATGAGGAAATTGGGCACAAGAATGATAAGGTGCCCAATGCACCAGGAGGGCCCGAATTTATTCCCTGCTTCAGTCTCCTGAGCCCTGTGCCTTTCCGGTCATATTCCTTACACTCAAATTGCACTATTTTAAGGAAGGAAAAACAGCTAATACTTATTAAGCCCCATATTCACTTATTAAGTGAGATAATAATAAATACTACAAAACAAACAAACAAAAAACTTCTCTAAAACATATTTTTCCCTGATTATGTTTACAGGCCCTGGTCTGCCCCACTATACTCTGCATAGCAGCAGCAATGATAAAGGTATTTTCAAATATTTCACCCTTCATTTGCTTTTTAGGAAAATGTGTGTAAATAGGACCAACATGTACTTAGGATAGTGGGGTTTTCTTTGACTTTAGAGGGTCTTAGCAATGACATTGAACACAAAGCTTGCAATCTGAATGTATAATCGCATCAGTGAATTGCCAACTTGTTCCTTATTGCTTTGTACAACCCAAATTATTCACATTGTAACAAATTACTGCTGTGTCAAATATTTGTTTAGAACTGAGAGTCCTGGAAGACAATTCAGCTTTGGCTAAAATGCTGCAGGATGTCCAGATGCCTACAAAAGAACTGAACGTCATTACTTTGAATGAAACAAGTAAGTTAAATTTCTCTGAACAACAGAACTTTTCATGGAAATACCAACCAAAAATGTAACTATATATGATAACTTGATCTGAAAATATGCATTTTATATTGTACATGAATCTAATGTAAGCTTATTTTTCCATGAAATGTTCTGTTACGAGAACTACTAGTTTTACATTCATTTGTCTTAAAATACAGTACCATTCTATGTAAAATTTATTTTAAGAGGAAAGTTATTTACAGAAAATGCACTATTGCTAATTCAATTTCATCCCAATATAACTCTGTTCTATTATTAAGTCTTAAATGTGTGTTTAGTTTAATGATACCCTAATGTATTTTATCTTTAACTCAAAGAAATAAAAAAAATATTTGAAATGACTATAGAAAAATAATATGGTTGACTATAAAATGCTGAAACTTCAGTCTCAGGAGAGAAATCTGGAATTTTTCCTAACCTCCTATGCCTCAGTAGTTAGCCTAGTCCCTGGCCTGATAGCTTGATCATGGATTATATTCAGAGGCCACCAAGAACAATAGGTTACTTTGAGTAGGGAATCTTGCAATTTGTTTATTTTTATTTGTTTGCTTATTTTTTTCAATTAAGGGCTGACAACTCATGAGGGAGGGGGGAATCCATCAGGATTTATTTTAGATTTATTGTTTTCTTTAATGTAGGATAGTAATAGAAAAGACTCAACTCATCTAATTTTAAATAGCAGGTAAAGCACAGGAAAGTGTAGGGTACTTCTAAAGAACAGCTTAGAACAGTGCTATTCAAACTGAATGTACATATGAGTGAGTCACCTGGGACCTTGTTAACATGTACCTTCTGGTCAGCATGGGCCCATGATCCTGAGTTGGTAATAGGTTCCTAGGTAATGCAGTGTGCCACCCACACCCACCCCCTTGTATCAGGCTTAACTGGCAAGGGCTTAGAGCTCTGGAGAGCTAACTGGACTGCAGATGTGGAAGGCACTGAATACCGAGATGTGGCATTGTACTTCAGTTGGTAAAGAGTGGGGAGCTCTAGAATGTTTTAGGGTCAGGGAAACCACGGGATTGCATGGATAACCAGACAGAGAGTGAAGGATGGAGCTGCCAGAGTGGGAGAGTCCAGTTGGGGGGTGTTATACCATTAGAACTCCAAGAAAGGAGGGCCTGAGGGAGTCTGGGATGAGGGAGCAAAGAGAGGTTGGACTAAGGACTAGAAAGAACCTCCCCAAAGAAAAGACTGTGGATCTTCAAAAAGGTGGAACTAAAACACTTCCAATTAACTAGTGCTGATTCAAACAAAAGAGAGATCAAATAGTAGATTTGACAGTCATTAAAAACATTATGATCAGGGAGAGTTCTGGTCAGGATGGCAGAGTAGGTAAAAGCTGTGCTTACCTTCTCTCATGACCACATCAAAATTACAACTAAACTACAAAACAACCATCATTGAGAACTGCCTGAAATCTTGCTGAACCAAAGCCCTACAACTGACATACAGAAGAAGCCACCTTGAGACTGGTAGGAGGCACAGAGACGCAGAATGAGCTGGTCCCACACCTGCATGTGACCATTAAAAATCAGGAGGGATATCTCGGCTGCAGAGGTTCCCCCCAAGGAGCGAGGGGTCCCATTGCCACACCAGGCTCCCCATCCCAGGGTCCCAATGACAGGCAGAGAAGTCCCCATAACTTCTGGTTGTCAAAAACATGGAGATTGTGACTGAGTGAGACGGAGAGTGGCTGGAGTCTCAGGTGCTCCTCTTAAAGTGACCACTCAAGGACTTACTGATGGAATCGATGGCTCTGAGCTCCAGTCGTGGGACAGCAGCTAGAGAGGTGACAGGGACATGTGGTCCCTGAGCTGTCTGGCTGCAGGATGAGGGCTGGAGGGGTAGCTTTCTCCCAGATGGAGGAGCTGGGAGAAGCCATTATCTCTTTGTTGAGCCCTCCCCCTTCCCAGCGTGCAAACACAGGTGGCCGCCATATCTGAGTCTCCATCAAGCTGGCTGACAACACTCATTCACGACACCCTGGTGATTCTGAGACCTCACCCAGCCAACTTTCAGGCACACCTAAGCCACTTCTAGTGGCTTTTTAGTACAAACCACCTGTTTTGGCTGATGTTGCAAATTTTCCTAGGGCCTCTCAAAGGTTTTCAGAACCCAGACAGGCAGCATCAGGTTTGAACATGTCTTGTACTTCTGGCTGAGCTGCCCTAAGCCTGGCACTGGCAGCAGCTGGCCTTGTTTCGAGGCTTGGCTTCTTGAGGCACTTCCAAGCACAGTGCGGGCAGGGGCTATCTGTAGATTGTTTTGTGGCTCTTGACCAGTGGCCCTGGGTGGGGCATATGCTGAGGCAGAATTTGAACTGCAGCAGATCCCCTCCCAAGTGGCACTGGGGTTGGCATGCCCAGTGGCCAGCTGCAAACTCAGCTGGAGCTGTCTCCAAGGATGACACACCCAAGGGGTTGATTAGGCAGGCACCAGAGCCCTGCAGAAGCAGAGCCTGCTCTGTAGGATCAGGCCCTATACCACAACTGCTCCACTGTAGTCACAGCCAGTCCTCACAACCAACGAGCCTGAGGGTCAATCCCTCCAACTGATGTGTAAACACCAACCACAGCTCAACTGTAAGAAGACAGCACACAAAACTCACACAAGTGACACAGCTGGAGTGTGTAGCTCAGGTGACCAGGAAGACTGTGCCATTGAGCCCCACAGCATACTTACTACATATGGCTACTCTACTAAGACCAGGAGACATAGTGGCCCTACCTAATACATAGAAACAACACAGGGAGGCAGCTAAAATGGGGAGACAAAGAATCATGTCCCAAATAAAAGAACAGAACAACGCTCCAGAAAAAGAACTAAACAAAATGGAGACAAGCAATCTACCAGACACAGAGTTTTAAACACTGGTTATAAGGATGCTCAATGATCTCAGGGAGAATTTCAACAAAGAGATAAGAAACATAAAAATGGAGATAGAAAACATAAAAAAAACAGTCAGAAATAAAGAATACAATAATGGAAATGAAGAATATATTACAGGGAATCAACAGTAGATCAGATGAAGCAAAGGATCAAATCAGTGATTTAGAAGATAAGGTAGCAGAAAACACCTAATAAGTATGGCAAAAAGAAAAAGAAATGCAAAAAAAATTGAGGAGAGTTTAAGGGACCTCTGTGACATCAAGCATACCAATATTTATATCATAGTGGTACCTGAAGGAGAAGAGAGAGAGCAAGGAATTGAAAACCTATTTGAAGAAATAATGATGGAAAACTTCTTTAACCTGGTGAAGGAAATATACATATAAGCTGAGGAAGCACAGAGTCCCAAACAACATGAACCCAAACAGGCCCACACCAAGACACATCATAATTAAAATGTCAATGGTAAAAACAAAGAGAGAATCTTAAAAGCAGCAACAGAAAAGCAGTTAATTACCTACAAGGGAGCTCCCATAAGATTGTCAGCTGCTCTAATAACTGCGCAGGCCAGAAGGGATTGGCAGGAAACATTTAAAGTAATGAAAAGCAAGGACCTACAACCAAGATTACTGTACCCAGCAAAGCTATCATTAAGAATCAAAAAACAGATAAAGAGCTTCCCAGACAAGAAAAAGCTAAAAGAGTTCATCACCACCAAACCATTATTGCAAGAAATCTTAGAGGGACTTCTTTAAGAATAAATAAATAAATAAATAAATAAATAAATAAATAAATAAATAAAATGGCAATAACTACTTACCTATCAACGATTACTTTTTCAAGTAAATGGGTTAAATGCTCCAATCAAAAGATAGAGAGGATGGGGCCGGCCGAGTGGCACGATGGTTAAGAACTGGCTTGGGATGCCAGAGGGCCCCGGTTCGGATCCCAAATATGAGGGCCAGTGACACTGCCCTCCACAGCTAAGATGCTGAACAACAGCTCAACCTGGAGCTGGGCTGCCATGAGTCACAGGTGACGGCGTAGGCTGCAGCCCCTGTGGCAGTGGATTGCCATGGGCTACCGTATGTAGCCAGCAGCCAGTGTGAGCGGCCAGCAGCCACAGTGAGCGGCTGTCCAAAAGCCGGCAACTGATCTGCCTCGCCCGGGAAGAGCGCAATGATGGTGCCAACTTGGGCCAGTGAAGCAACGTCCTCCACAACTAGACTGAAGAACAAAACGATAGCAACTTGTCTGTTCCCCTTCCCCCAATTCCCCAGCATTCTTCCCATTCCCCCAATTCCCCAATTAAAAAAAAAAAAGCAACTTTAAAAAAAAAAAGATAGAGGGGATGAATGGATAAGAAAACAAGACCGTTACATATGCTGCCTACAAGAGATTCACTTCAGATAAAAAAAACATGCACAGACAGAAAGTAAAGGGATGAAAAAGATATTTCATGAAAATGGAAACAAACAAAAATCTGGGGTAGCAATAATTCTACCAGATAAAACAGACTTTAAAAAAAAGACTATCTATAACAAGAGACAAAGAAGGACCTAGTAATCCCACTTCTGGGTATTCATCTGAAGAAACCCAAAATGCTACTTCGATAGGACATGCTCATCCATATGTCCACTGCAGCATTATTTGCAATAGCCAAGATATGAAGGCAATCTGGTGTTACCAAACAGATGAATGGATAAAGAAGAGGTGGTACCTATACACAATTGAATATTACTCTGCCATTTCAAAAACGAATGAAATCTTGCCATCTGCAACAATATGGATGGACCTAGAGAGCATTGTGCTGAGTGGAGTAAGTCAGACAGCAAAACACAAATGTCATATGATTTCACTTATAAGTGGAATCTAAAGAACAAAATAAATAAGCAAATGAAACAGAAACAAACTCATAGGTAAAGAGAACACTTCGATGTTTGCCAAATGGAAGGGAGTTGGAGGCTGGTAAAAAAGAGGAAGGGATTAAGAAACACAACTGTATTGTTATAAAGTAGTCATGAGGATGTAGGGTATAGTATAAGGAATATAGTCAGTAATGTTGCAATAACTATATACGGTGTCAGATGGGTACTGGATTTGTTGGGGTGATAGATGGGAGGGTGGTTGGAGGCAGGGAAAAAAAGGTGGAGGGATTAAAAAGCACAAATTGGTAGTTACAAAACAGTCATGGGGATGTAAAGTAACGCTTAGGGAATATAATCAATAATATGGTAATTACTATGTATAGTGCCAGGTGGGTACTGTTGAATAACTATGATGTACACCTGAAACTAATATAATATTGTATGTTAATTATATTTTAATAAAAATCTTTAAAAAGAAAGAAAGAAAAGCTGTCTCTTTCAGGTGCCAATGAGGTAGCTCCACAAATAAATTTTGCATTTACAATGTAGTGGTGGGCAAGAGCTAGCTCACAACTGCTCATGAAAGACAATAGTTAAATTTTCAGGGATTTTGTGAGCGGGTTGCTTAAATAAAGCCTTTAATAAAAAAATGTATATAATCATCCAATTTAAAATTTATAATACTTAAAACTCACCATTTGCTAGTTATCTTATTACATTTTGCTATTCTCTAAATGCTCTTGAGGTTCTTTGCATCTATTATGTTTGCATGGAAATATATAATGGTATGCTACTGTACCTCTCTTCCGAAACCCACATTCAGTGACATCACACTAGTGGCTTGAAATTGGCCATGATAGGAGTATTTATACCACAGTAATCAGCAAATGCTACAAGTCAGGGCTTTATATCTTGTATTGTTGATTGTCTAAATACGTTTTCTCAACTTTTTTTTTGTTTTATTATCACCACCCTAAGGAGCCTTTTAGATATTTTTGTCCTAACTGTTTCTCCCACATGAATACTTAAACCATAGATATATTACTGTTTATGTACTCTATGCATGTCTATGCTTTATACATACAAAGAGTATTATTTTTTGCCTTTTCCCAAGAGCCAGTTTTTGCTCACATGGGGCCATATCACCTCCTTAGAGAATGCATGATTTAAAAGTGATTTAAAAGGAGATCCAAGATGGCAGAGTAGATAAACACTGTGCCTCTTTTCTTTCGTGAACACATTAAAACTACAATTAAATTATAAAACAGGGTAACCATCTAAAGTCTGGCTGAACAAATGTTTTATAACTAAGAATGTAAAGAAACAACACTGAGACTGGTAGGAGGGGCAGAGATGAGAAACAGGCAGGCCCAAAACCTTTGTGGTGGTTGAGAATCAAGAGGGTTATCTTGGCCACAGAGGGTTCCCCCAGAAGAACAAGAGACACCAGCCCCACACCAGCCTCCCCAGACCAGAGTACTGATGCCAGGAAGAAAACACCCCACAACACCTGGCTGTGAAAAACAGTGGAAATTCCAACCACCTGGCTACGGGAAACCCAGAGATATTCTGAAACGGCCCATTCATAGGCTTTCTCACTAGCAGGTACTCACCATGGGTTCCAGCAGAGGGACGGGGGCTCAAGGTGCATCGGAGGCATACGGGGGACAGACTGAGGTGTGTTGCTTTTGGGTGAGGGCTGGAGGACAGTCTCAATTTTTTCTGGGTGGGGTCCTTCTCCAGTACAGCTGGCAGGTGGGTGCCATCTTGCTTGTGTAGAGCCCATCCCCACAGACCAAATCTGAATCTGATTGGCCTCGTGAGCTCCACTGCTTCAACCTGCTGACTTACTGGGACCCAACCTACCCAGCTCCCCCAACACCAGAGGTGCTTTCTGACTGGCAGTCAGCCCCGCCCACATTGCACTCTTTCCTGGAAAACTATCAGAGTCCATGGCCCCCAAGCTGGCAGTGACTGGCCTCGGAGTGCTCTGAGACTTTTGCTGAGTAGCTCCAGGCTCAGCACTGGCAAAAACCAAAATTTACATTAAACTTGTGACCACAAGTCTTCCCACTCTAGTGACTCCCTGAGACCCTACCCTCACCTAACTCGCATACCTCACAAGGTTTTATCAATGCCTGAACCTTAAGGGAGCCAGCAGATGGCAGCAGGCCTCAGGGTGTCCTAGCTTTTTATGGAACTACCCTAGGCTCAGTACTGGTGGCAGCTGTCCTCGGTTCACAGCATGGCCTCTCCCACATGCCTCCAGGGTTATCGCAGGCAGCAAATAACTGCAGATCACTTTGTAGCTCCTGCCAAGTAGTCAGTCCCTGGCTGGTCACAGACAGTGGGTGACCTGATCCTGCAACACAGCCCCTCCCAAGGGGCCCCAGAACCAACAAACTTGGAGGTTGGCTTCAGACCACAGCAGAGCACTGCCCAATTAGCCCTACAAGTGGCACATACACAGGGCAGTCTCAATAGGCTCCAGAGCCCACTGGAACAAATCTCACTCTATGGGGTTAGCCCACCTCACAGCAGCACATAAGGTATGGTCATGGCCAAAACCCACAGCCAATCAGCCTGAGGGTCAATACTACCCATGATTTGCCAAGAACAAGCAAGGCTCAACTATAACAGGAGGACATACATAACCCACACAAGGGGTATTCCTGGAGTACCCGGGTCAGGTGACCAGGGAGACTGTGCCACTGGGCCCCACAAGCCACCTGGCCAAGACAGGGAGACACAACATATCTACCTAATACATAGAAACAAACAGAGAGGCAGCAAAAATGAGGAAACAAAGAAATGTGTCCCAAATGAAAGAAAAGGAGAAAACCCCAGAAACAGAACTAAACAAAATGGAAGCAAGCAAGCTAGCAGATACAGAGTTCAAAAACACAATGCTTATAAGAATGCTCAAGGAACTTAGTGAGAACTTCAACAAAGAGAGAGCAAGTATTAAAAAAAAAAGGACATAGACACTATTAAAAAGAACCAGTCTGAAGTGAAGAATACAATAACTGAAATGAATGCACTAGAAGGAATAACCAGCAGACTATATGAAACAGAGAATGGAATCAGCAATTTGCAAGAGAGGGTAGCAGAAAACACCCAATCAGAACAGCAAAAAGAAAAAAAAGAATCCAAAAAAATAAGGACAGTTTAAGAGACCTTTGAGACTACATCAAACATAACATTTGCATCATAGGGGTACCTGAAGAAGAGAGAAAGTAAAGGATTGAGCACCTATTTGAAGAAATAATGACTGAAAACATTCCTAACAGGGAAGGAAATAGACATAAAAGGCCAGGAAGTGCAGAGAGTGCCAAAAAAAGATGAACCCAAACAGGCCCACACCAAGACGCATTATAATTAGAATGGCAAATGTTAAAGACAGAGAGAATTCTAAAAGCAGCAAGAGAAAGGCAACTAGTAACTTATAAGGGAGCTCCCATAAGATTGCCAGGTGATTTCTCAACAGAGACTTTGCAGGCCAGAAGGGGTTGACACAAAATATTCAAAGTGATGTAAATATTCAAAGTGATATATAAATGCCCAGAAGTGGGATTTCGGGGTCCATCTTTGTCTCTTGTTATAGTCTTTGTTTTAAGTCTGTTTTGTCTGGTATAAGTAGTGCTACCCCAGCCTTTTGTTTTGTTTTGTTTTGTTTGCATTTCCATTTTCATGAAATATCTGTTCCATCCCTTTACTTTATGTGTATGCTTGTCTTTTAATCTGAAGTGAGTCTCTTGTAGGCAGCATATGTGAGGGTTTGTTTTCTTATCCATTCAGCCCTCCTATGTCTTTTGATTGGAGCATTTAATCCATTTACATTGAAAATAATTGATAGATATGTAGCTATTGCTATTTTATTATTCGTAATTTTCACTATATTTTTTTCCATCTTAAAGAAGTCCCTCAAAGATTCCCTATAATCCTGGTTTGGTGGTGATGAACTCCTTTAACTTTTTTTGTCTTGGAAGCTCTTCATGTGTCCTTCAATTCTAAATGATAGCTTTGCTGGGTAATCTTGGTTTCTCTCCCTTTCTCTCTCTCTCTCTCTCTCTCTCTCTCTCTCTCTCTCTCTCTCTCTCTCTCTGATTTTTTAGTCTAGCTAATCATCTTGAATTTGGGAGCAAAGGAAACCCGTTCATTATTTAGGGACAAATTTTATAAACTTATGATAAATGAAGCACAGAGAATTAAACAGATCTGCAGAAGATCATGTAGAATGTACACAAGTTTGCTCCATGTAAACTTAACTTCATTCTGTGAAACACACAGCTGAGAATGGGAACTCAACTTTGAGGTCTGGCATGGCAATAACAATTACAAAAATGTTATTAAATCAGAATTTTAAAATAGAGCTGGGGCCAACTAAAAATCCTAAATATCTTCAAGGAAATTCAAAAACAGAAAAGTATTTTGGAGGTAAACTTAGAACATAAGCCATAAACAAACTAGACAAGTAGATTAGATGCCGAAGAACAGAATTATAAATACAAAACATTATCAATTCTAAAATGCACTTTTATTTTACAAGGCACCGATGTATTTAATAGATATATTAGAAACAACTTTATTCTTTTAATCTGAACTAGTATTGTAACCTAAAAGAGAATATTTGTATTTCTTAAAAACATGCTGAATCAAAGCAGTTCACTTTCCTTTTTTATTCTAAGTTAACAAATTGTTAAACTCTAGATATGACTTATATTTGACAGGTAAGGAACCAAAATCATGTGGTAATAATTGTTCTTAATTCACTAATTAATCTTTCTATTTGTTTAGAATTTTGGTATCAGATGATCCTCCCTCCTCATTTTGATAAATCCAAGAAATATCCTCTACTAATAGATGTGTAAGTATTCAAGAGAAGGGATTTTTTTTTTTGCCTAGTTTAGCTGACTGAAAAATACATCCAAATGCATCCTTTCTGTCTTCCTGAATCATCGTGAAGCTACTTTACTAGGTCCTCCTCCCATTTTGCATTCACAAACCCAAACCTGTGTTTTCTACCTTCTTTCTAATGGAGAAGGTAGACAGTCTTCTTCCATCAAAACGGCATATGGATTTTGTTTTTATTTGTTTCCCTGAACTCCAAAGGAATTCCAAAGGAATTCTCAAGTCCCCATTTTCATTCTTTCATTGTGGGCATTTTAATGCGCAAGAGATGGGTATTCACAGTTTTTATAGTTTCCTTACCCCCAGACTTGAGTAAATGTCTCTCATGATTGCCTTTTATTCATTAGGATATTAAGCTTCTCTTTCTTTAGTTCCTGAAATATCACTGCCTGGTATTTTCCCTTCCAGTTTTTGGTGACGAGAACAAATGTGGAACAGGAGAGTATTCATTATAACTCAAACTTCTTCAAATCATGGAGAAAGCTCTGAAATCGCAAGTCTTTGAGCAGTAACTGCGAACTCATGTGAATTCTAAATATGGCAGTTTTGTAAAATATCTTTGATAATTATTAGGAATACATTTATTTAACTTTAATCCTTCCAAAATTTCTGACCTCACCCATAATGCCACAATTCCAGTCTTCCTGTTTTAGCATGACTCATTTTCTTCATTAAAAACAAAACAAAATAACAAATGTGCTTGGTGCCTTCTGCATGCCGGGTAATTTGCCTTATTTCGTTCACACAGCAAACTTATGTGTCAGGCCAATTATATAGAAGAGAAAACGGAAGCTCAAGCTCAGGGGCAACACTTTCATGTTGGTACTAGCAAAAAATAAAAATAAAAAAGGAGAATCGGAGGAGGGTTACAGATATTTGCTTCAGACATAGCCTTCTTCCATTGTATTTAAAGTTCCATGTACACACAACATAAAAGCTCAAAGAAAGAGAAAAAGGTATTTTAAATTTCCAAATGTGCTATTTGATTTTCATTAAGCTTCGTTTTGATTTAGTAACATTAATTTGCTTTAGGCTTTAGCCCCCAATCCCCAAAAAAGGATCCTTTAGAAAAGAGTGATATTTTTATCTTCGTTGACTCCCTGTAAGTAATAATTAGGTTTCCCTTTCATTAGGAAAGTTTTTAAAAAAAAGGTAAATTTAGCGTCCATTTCTTTTCAGTGATTTTCCTTTTCATGTCCTTAGATGTCTAAAGTTTTGTTTCCTATTTTTAAAAATAATGTCATTTAATGTTAACTACTATTAAGAGAAGCTGTTGCGCTACCAAAGTTAATATCACTGAAAGGACCCAGGCATTTCCCATGTTGTTAAAAAATGTTTACATGCCCAAGAAATGCATGACTGAGTCCTTCCTTTTAAAGTTATAATGTTACAATATTTAGTTTAAAATTAAAATAATACAATAATTTATTTAAAACTAAAGTTCTTTCGACTGCCATCCCTAAGGAGAGGGAGGACAATGTTAGCAAAGGCATACAAGCAGGAAACATGCAGTCCTGCGAAGGGGATAGTGAGCAGCTAAGTAGGACCGATGGGCTGGGGCAAGAAGAGTTATTGGAGAAGATCTGGGTCCAGGAGTCCTGTAGGTGGTGAAAAGTCAGCATATTTAAAGGAGATTCAGTGAACTATAGGGAGCTTCTCTTGGTTGACAAAGGGAAATGAGATGGCTTGAGGGAGACTGTGCCTACAGCTCTGTGGGAGGTAAGTTGCAGCTTGTGAAAATTGTAGATACAAGGGAGTTAAACTTATTAATAAATAGAATGCCTAACAACATACCCATTTTTCCAGTACAGTTTACTTCTCCTTTGAAGTTTTAAGGAATTGTGTTTATATTTTGGCCCATTCCACAATGATATGCAGAACCATAGTGTGCAACATGGTGCTGGGTACTGGGGGAAACGCAAAGCGTATCATGCAGCAGTCAACATCTTTAAGGAAGATCCAACCTAGGAAATGCACTTTGTAGTCTAGGAGTGTTTGTAAGCTGAAATGGAAAAATCTACTCAAAGCTGCATTTATTGTCATCCTTATTATTTTTTCATGACACAACTTCCCTATCCAAACTATAAGAGGATTTATTTCTTTGATTTCCAAGATACATATGACTTAGAAAATGTTGGTCTATGAAGTCTGTGTTTGAGAACAATCTTCAAAGATTAAACCAATGAGCATCTTTGAAGGAAACACTCAGCTATTGTAGTCATGTTGTCAAGTTTTAGAGGACCTCAGATGTTGGCACGATTTCAGGCTCATGATGGGGGAAAGATGCCCACTTCTGGTCCACAGGGAATAGAAATACAAGCACTCCTCATTTGATTCAGGCAAACCACACAAGCTAACAATTTGTGTTTTTTCACAGGTATGCAGGACCCTGTAGTCAAAAAGTAGACGCCACCTTCACACTCAACTGGGCTACTTACCTTGCAAGCACAGAAAACATTATAGTAGCTAGCTTTGATGGCAGAGGAAGTGGTTACCAAGGAGATAAGATCATGCACGCAATCAACAGACGACTGGGAACACTTGAAGTTCAAGATCAAATTGAAGCAGCCAGGTGAGTGGCTAGAAGATGAATTCAAAGGTCATCTGATTTCCCACCCCCCTCAATTTATATTTTAAATTCATAAAGTGTAAAGAATTTAAAGTGTCCTAAGATGAATTTGTAATCTTTCATCTTTGGGGTGGACTTTTTGTGAAGATATCATGTTTAGATAAAAATGTATGTCATTATCTAGATTTATATAAAGTTTTTAAAAAGTATATATCCTAAATCCCTTTCTGTATGTGACTCTAGAAAGGGAATTGACATATGTGCTACCATCTTCGAGGAACAGAGACTCGAAATTCATCAAACACGTGGACAAGCTAAGGGATAAATGTACTCCTGAGTAAACATCTAACTAAGCAAGCTGACTACCCTATAGCCAGGGATCAGTAGATGAGTCCAGTGTTCATTTACACCTGAGGAGGGCAAAGGCTATGAAGTCCTAGGAGTGGCTCCTACCGTCGGCTCAGTGAGGTTTACTCCTCATCTAATTCTAGGAAAACTATAGAGCACGACCTTCACAGCTCATAACTATAAGAGCTTCATAAAGTAGGAATCACATCTCATTCTTGTGCTCTTCAGTTCTGGGACTATACATAGACACGATTTGACTTCATTAAGAGAGATTTTAATTATAAATGATGGTTACTCAGTAATGTGCATGTAACATGAGAAATGTTTTACTTGAATTGTCTTTGAAGCAGCACAGCAACCCTGGGAGGTGGATGTTTTTATCCCATATTTCAGGTAAGGAAATGGAGGCTCCTCAGTCAGGTAATTTGCCAAGGTCAGGCAGGATTTGAATCCAGGTTTCACTCCAACTCTTACATTCAATTGCATTTAACTGGTAAATAGGAAATGTAATCTTTGAATTTCTAAGTGCATGGACGTCTGCAGAATGTAAGTAGGTGATTTAAAATAATGTTGTGAAATCATAAACTCGGAAATGCAGAAAAATTGTGAATGATTAAATGGGTGGAGGATGATGCCTTTAAGAAATGGAACAACTGAGAAAGAGATGATGGCAATTTATTGAGTATCCCTAAGTCTCTTATACTGAAGTTAATGTTTAACTATTTTCCTAAAAGCTAAAAAAAGAGAGAGGTTTAGATTAGAGAGAGGACAAATTTGTTCAACAGTGAGGCTGTAATATTTTTAAATATATTTTTTTAATTTATCCAGATTAGTCCCCTGTGAGAAAGGGCCTAGTTTCCAGGGCCTCTCAGATCTGACCGACTCAAGCCCTAAAATTACAGAACTGAGTATCCACAGTATACAACTCCAGTTAAAAAAAGTACTGAGATGTACTGTGTTTATACAGTGGGATAGTATTTCAGCAACTAAAAACAACTATACACAACCACAGAGATGGATCTCACAAATAGGCTGTTGAATGGAAGAAGCCAGGCACACAAGCATACATTCTGCATGATCCAATGTATGAGTATATATAATTCAAAACCATGGCACAAATTCAGGTGAAATTTTTATAGAATCCAATAAAAGGAAAGCATTTCACTTTTTTTTTCCTTTTGCAAAAGGAGAAATGATCCAGAGACTTCTGGGGGATAATAGTGCACTATATCTTTGTTCAAGGATATGCTCACTTTGTAAAGATTTATCAACTTGTACACTCGTGACTTGGTGCACATATCTGTACATATGTATTCTAAGTTTTAAAAGTTGACATGGAGAAGGTAATGAGTTGAAAACTACTTACTTTAAGTTTTTAAAATTAATATTGCTTAGCTAATATTGCTTAACTCAGGGCAGCCTAAGAAAGATACCATCAATTGAAAAACACATATTCTCAAAGTCACACATAGGTTTCCCACACTCCTCAATACTACAAAGTTAAGCACCCCATTTGCTAGATGTTTTTTAAGTAAATAAGTTACCTTTTGATGTAAGGCTAGTATTAAGAAACAGGTGCATAAAACATTTCTGTCCTTTCTTTACCTAGATTTCATTCCCAAACACCATTTTGTGGCCAAAAGAGTTCTTCATCCATCAAGGAAAAAGTCCTTGTTATATAATGATGCTGAACTAACTCATCAACACCCAGCATAAAAAGGGGTTTATTTAGAGAGTCATGTTTATGTTCTCAGGTAGGGGGCTCAGATACATTTCTAAGCTCTACCCAGATGTTCTCCGTGTCCCTATATTTCTCTATGGCAGGGGCAGCCTCTCTCAAACTGAAAAACATCTGGAGAGATTTGAATTCAATTATGTAAAGAAAAGTGCATCTGGGCTGCAAATTTTTATACAAAGCTGTGAAAAAAAAAACTGCCAGGATTTGTTTTCTGTGAAACACACTCATGCACACACACACACACACACACACACACACACACACACACACACACACATACACACAATTTTTATGGAGTCCAGCAAAAGTAAACCTTGTTCATCTGGTTAAGTTAAACATGATAGATATTGATTGCAGGTGTTTATTTGATTGTTGGCAGTAATATATCTTAGCTTCCAATAGAATGAAATAGAAAACAAATGGCAGGGCTTCACATCTGTGCATTCATCTTAGTTTTCTATACACAATGTAATACTAATTCGTGGACTTCTTCCATATATTTTAGGCAATTTTCAAAAATGGAATTTGTGGATGACAAACGAATTGCAATTTGGGGCTGGGTGAGTAGTTGTCTGGCTGATGAATCTATATGCACTTCTTAGTGAATATAACCCGGAGCAGGATAGTATATCTTTTGTATGTAAATATTTGGAGATGAAAATCATGTCTATCCTTTTAATCTGAGAAGGTGTATATAAAATATCTTAGGTCTCTGAGCAACGAGTCCCGACTAGCCAGGCTTACACATTTGTTTGTTGTGATGAGGGAGGGAAGCAAGGAAGGGGAGAAAGAGGGAGAGAGGGAGGGAAAGAGAGAGCAAGAGAGGGAGGAAGGGAGACTTTTCTCTTGAGTCAAAGTCAGTAAAGGTTTAGTGTTTATTGTTTTTACGTTTTCTGTAATTGGTATTACCTGGCAACTTTTCAATGCTTTTCCCCTCACATCTGCCAAGAAAAGGGATGAGGGCTCTGAAAATGTAGCCTTTAGATACAGTCTAATTAAGGCCACTTTAAGCCTCCTCCACCATGCTTTCTATCTCTAAAGAGGCATGGTATAATATATAAAGATGTGAGAAATGTGGAAACCGCGACTCGCTTACCATATGGCCTTAATTCCTTTACCTCCATAAAAATAACTGTTTCCATCCCATAGTCATATGGAGGGTACGTAACCTCAATGGTCTTGGGAGCAGGAAGTCGCGTGTTCAAGTGTGGAATAGCCGTGGCGCCTGTGTCATCATGGGAGTTCTATGGTATGTAATTGCTATCAGGTACAAAGAGATACTGAGTGTTGACCTTAACATTCCAATGAAAAAAACATTCCTTTTTGAGTTTTAGTGTTTCTCCAGTGAATAAGCTGATTTATCCCACAGGTACTTTATGGATACCTAAAATAAAAACAATCGCACTTATTCTGCTATTGTAAAAGGCTGGATGGCATTATGTGTTATCTGCACATTTAGTTATCAGTAAATTCTGTTTTCCAAATTTCAAAACATGTCCAAAGCTACGTTTCTGCAGATAAACCCTTCCTTATCTTTATTGTAACTTGAGTTTTGGGCTTCAATTATTATCATAATAAAAGAAGCATGTATGTCTCTTATGGTAAAAATCAAATATAAATAGGGCTTTGGGTGGAAAGAGGAGAGTAGGGATAGGGGAATTCTGGGAGGTTTGTTTCTTACCATTGCCTCTAAGTAAGTGAAAGCCACTCTAGATTATCCTCTTCGTCATTGAGAAAATATTATTCTATTAAGGTGTATCATTTTATATAGTCTTACACACACATGTAATAGTGTAATTAACAAGGGGGAGGAAGTGAGCAGTGCAACAGTAGGTAGGGGAGAAGAGTCAGAGGTGGTGAGGAGATGAGTTTTTTTCTGTGCCTCTGCTGACTCCATCTCAAGTCCTTCATATAGTATAAGGATAGAATCATTGATAGTGAATATGCTCATTAAATATTTTATGTCCGAACATATGGTAGTGCCAATCTTGTGGAAATTGCTTTTTTTAAATCCTCTCCAAGTCAAGAGAAGCCAATGTAAAAAATACATTGCTATCTTTCTGTTAAAAAAAAAAAGGAGAACATAGTTAGGATTTGATCCTCACACGATGGATTTGCTTTCATATAATACTTTCCTGCTTGATATTAATTGTTCTACTGGATGGCTTGTTTTTGGAGACATCTGGTGGCTAATAAAATAATAGGAACAATCTTTGTTTAGAAACATGTAACGAAGGAGAGAACTTCATTAAATGTATATGGACCCATCTAACACATAGGAACTTTCTAGAATTCTTATATGTGTAAATTTGAGCAATTTTACACAAAGATGAGATAGAAGGAATATGTAAATGGTATTTCAAGGCATGTTTCTAAAGGTTTACAACTTCATTGTGCATTTTTAAATACTATTTTTAAAATTTCAGATCACCTTACACACGTAAACCTGGTTATCATAATAAGAAAGGGGCCTTATGTCCTAGGACAAGAAGAATTGAAATCTGTGGCTGTTTGAGGAGACATTTATTTTGCCCTTAAAGAACATTTTCCCCCTATCAAATGCACAACCTAAGTTATTCATATTTAAATGTTAAAAGATATGAGAACTTTATGAAGATCTTATACAGAGGGTGCCAAAACAATGTATACACATTTTAAGAAAGGAAAAAATTTTTAAAAGTGTAATACTCAATATATACCGATAACAAAAGATGAATACAAGTCACGTTTGACTTCTGCAATTACAAGAGGTGCTCAAAGTGGTTACCATCAGCATCCAGACACTTCTGATTATGGCAAACTACTGCTGGAGCAACACTGACCAAAGTGTCCACTTGTATACATTTTTTTGGCACCCCTGGTATTTTAAAGTACCCTTTAAAATATTATATTTTCTATTTTTTTAGTGTTCTCTAAATATATAAAATTATATGCAGGTTGTATTCATTGTAATCAAAATGATAAAATATTGCTCTTACTAATTTTCAAGGAAAATATTTTGATTTCCATAGAAATAGCATGTCAAAAGAATACATAGGGAATAACTAACACTCATTATCAATATAGTTTTTAATCTATAATGCCAGTCATAAAAAAAGGGTAAGGATGTTGCTTAAGGGTGTGGTTTAGATGATATATTCATTTAAATAATTAATGAGATCAGTATTGAAATACTAGTACAGTTACAGTGAAATTGAACCCATTAACCTATAAGGCACAATGGCAACATATTATTCTTATACTTATGTACTTACTGTTATCCGGTCATTTAAGGGGGCATCTTCCAAAAACAGCTATTTCAGATTTTTAAAGTTATATTAGAATTCAGCCACAGTAAATTTCTCACTGATATTTTAGGGTATATATATATATATATATATATATATATATATATATATATATATATGCATATTGTAGATATGATACATATTATATACATATCATATATAACATACGATTTAATTTTTTAAACTAGGAGGAAAATATGTTTAATTATGCAAAATAACCAAACAAATAATACATGTTTTTCTGCCACATATAGATAAAAGAGCTTAAGTCATTTTAGCAGACAGATATTAATCTGTTTCACAATACTTAACTGTTACAACACCAAAATTGAGGCCTCTCCACAAAATGAGAGAAAACAAATATTTAACTTGCATTATGATGGAGTTAGCTGAGCCGATATGGAGTTATACAACAAATGAATGATAACTGAGATATTTCTCTTTATTCTAGTGAATTTCAACCCGCAAAAAATACTATTTAAGTAAGCAACTAGTAATTAAACGTTATTAGAGATTTCCAAAAGGAAATAGCATATCAGAAATTAGAGCATATACTGTGGACCAAAAAAATTCAAGATAACTGAGGCATTAAAAGAACTGAGATTCTTTGAGAAGGTCAGATGATAATGTAAAGAGTCCTAGCCTCTTAGCCCTTCACATTTGACTTTCTTGCAAGTGGATTATTGATTGGATTTTAGACCATCTAGTTTGCTCTCTCTATGCCCTCATCATGAGAGTTACGTGGGGTTGGGCTAGGGCAGAGTGTGGAAAGGCAGGCATCTGAGCAGGTGTCTGGCTGCATTCACAAGCCAAATAAAAGTGATCTGGAGGAGATACTTCTGAGGGTAACCCTATAGACCTATGCACAAGTTAAGACATACCACAGCACATGAAATAACCCAGTAAAAGGAAGAAAAGTTTTTATTGTATGAATTAACTTTCCTTTTCTCCACCACAGACTCCGTGTACACAGAACGTTACATGGGTCTCCCAACTGCAGAAGACAACCTTGGCCATTACAAGGTAAGAGAGGAGGACCCATATCCATTTCATAACCTATTTATAAGTGGTTGAAGAGCATTTTAAAGTGTATCTATTCTAGAAAATATATATGTTTTTATTTCCAACAAAATTCTTGTTAAAAAGAAATAACACAGGTGGTTTAAAGATACTCCAGTAGCTTCCCCTGCTATATTCTGCATAATTACAGTCTTTATCGTATGCTATATAGGTCACAATATGCATTCATTTGGAAATACAAAGCAACACCAGATAATTACTTTAATTATAAAAAATTTCAGTTTAGAAAACATGTCAAATTCAGCATATTCCTTACAGCCCAGAAGATTCTAAACCTTTAGCTATATATTAAAATTTCTTATGGTATTATCCTAATTAAGATGTATGTATGAGCCTATAACTTTCTTATTCACAGCCTAATAGGTACAGTTTTTTTCATACAAGATTTGACTAAAGCAGGTGAGGGGTAGGTACAGTTGGGTGGTACCTTGAAAAGCCCTTGAATGCTAATTACTCAATAGCATCCACTAGGCTGGGCTGCCTGTTGGGAGAACTACAGATGGGCTATATAGCATTTGAAATATGCCCTGGGTGCAACTACCCCTGGCAGCCCCATGTGCCAGTGTGGATGCCACTGCAGAGCCGGAGCCACGCGGATGCAGCTGGAAGTGCTAGCTTAAGCACTAAAGGACCCTCGTAGCACTTTGGCCCATGCAACAGATTCCTGATTCTGCTTGTCATATGAGTCAAAAACCCTGAAACTTACAGACAACAAGACAAATCATCTGATGTTTACATTCTTCCGAGGAAATTTAAAACTCTTCCCAGGACAGTGAATTAAAAATAAAGATAAACAAGAATAACTTAAGAGAACAATTTCTCTTTATCTGTGCCACAATGCTCAAGACAAGGGCTTCATATTAATACATTTCTCTGAGCCATATTTGCACATTTTTTGTAAGATGTTATCATTACTATGTATTCTAAAGCCATTTGATCAAAACACAGTAAAACTCAAACTTTCTAGTGTTGCAACGTAAGTATAGACAGTTTCGGTCTACCTCTTCCAGCTTTATTTAGCAAGGTGGGTGGGGAGAGAGGGGGAGGGAGACGCATCTGTGTTTGTGCCTGGGTGTGTGTTTTCATTTCTGTTTTTCAGTCAAGATAAAAAAGTAACAACCTATAAAGCGACACAAATCATCTTCTACTGCAAAGCGGTCCCACCATCAGGTTGTTCTCATTCCTGCTCACTGGCCCCCATGGTACTTGGGACTCAGTTCTTCCCACACTTTCTCTTCCACATCCAGTGAGCTGATGCTGACTTCCTTCTTCCTTGTCCTTCTTCATAACCACATTGTTGTGGTCACATGACTACCCCTCCCTTTTACAACAAGAACCCAATTGGTTTCCCCTTCGCTTGTCTTTCCACTCTTTTCTATACCCCACAGAGCAAGGAGACTTACCCCACCCACAGCACTTTCGTGGGCCTTTCCTGTGTATGCAGCAACTCCGTCATCATCCTTTCCCGCGGTGTTCACCACCCGTCTTATGTTGGCCCAGTTTACCAGGGCCAGCTCACTGTTCTCTGAATATTTCTGGGCCTTTCCCTTTTGTGCCTTTGTCCTCTTCCCTCTACTGGGAATGCCATTTCCTCACCATCTCCGTCCATTAGGAGAGACCTGCATGGCTCTCCCAGGGGAGTAGCATCCCCTTTTGAATCCGATGACATTTTCCTCGTATCTCTCTAACCCTCCATTTATCTCTATTGGATGCATCGTTGGTTTGTACTCCCATGTCTCCTCTGCGGTACTGTGAGCTCTTCAAGGCTTGACTCAACATTGTATCCTTTGGATTACCCAGTATGAAGTATAAGCCTTAAAACCTTCTCTGAGTTCGTTTAAAAACTATTTGAAGGGAAACATTGTTATGAAAATTGTGTGCCTCCCTCATTTCTCTCATTTTACAGCTGGAATTTTCTTGTCTATGTCCTGACCAGGATTTTTAAATTTGAAAACCATCCCTCCTGTGGTACACTATATTTGATGAGTTGCCAAAGGGATTTCTCAGATATTCCAAATGTACTAAAAACTCCTGAAACATTGAAGGTGTACTGCCCAGGACAGTACTCCTGGTGTTCCTCTGGTGTCAAAAGTTCGTTTAAAAAAATCCCATACTGAAAAGTCTTTGGACCTGGAAGCACAAGGTCAAGTCCACACCCTCATATCTGAGGAAGTTCATAGCACCAAGCCTGCTCCCCAGATGAACACCAGCCGACAGGGTGTTTCCTCTTCAACCAGACCTCCCCTCAGAAGATAATTAGTTTTAATCTGCTATTCGAACCTGCATCGTTTCCCAGACTTTCCCACAGGTTCGCATGCTGATCCTCCTCTTCCTCAACTCTACCCCCAACTCTGGTGGCCATGTTCATCTCTACACTTAGGTGCTCACTGCGTGAGGTAGTCATGTAAACAGAAGCCACTTCCCATTGCCAATGGCAATACATGCACACTGGTTGCACAAAGTCACTCTTTCGTTTCACTGCACAGATGGCACCCGAGGACTGTTTAATCCTTCCACCGCCAGGAGTCGGGTTTTCTTGGCACAAAATTCACTGCTGGCAATGGACACATTAAAACTGCCAGTACCAGGGAGCTAAAGGTTCCCAATGTGTTACTCAGAGGAATTATTTGGGCCAGCAATCGTTAAGGTGGGCAGGAGAAAGGGAGGCAAATGCGTTACTGAACTGTTGCCACCCTGGTAAATTGCTTCCTCTCAACGTGGAGAACTGAATCTAAGTGCCTATATTTGGTGCACAGCAGGCTTTAGAATAAAGCTGCCCTCCTTTGTTTTTTAAATGAGCCTGTGCTTTTGTCTCTGGCAAGAAAACATTCAAAGATTCTATTTTCCTCCAAGGCCCCAGCTGCCCCTCTGGACCCCATCTTCTTTTACTTTTCTTTCCCAGGTGGTTTCTATTTCTCTCTCTCTCTCTCTCTCTCTCTCTCTCTCTCTTCCCTTCTCTCCTTGCCACCTCCCACCCTCTTTGAAAAGACAAA